CTAAAAGAATAAATTTCTTCTTCTTATTAAGTCTATTTATAATTATTATAATATATTAATAAAAGCGTCTATATCTAAGATAAATAGATAATAATATAATAAAGTTAATAAAAATATCTTATTAGTACTATTCGAGAATAAGAAGAAATTTAAATAGATCTTATTTACTCTCTCTATAAGTCTTAGATCTTTTATAGATATAGTAGCTCTTAATATAGCGAGTAATAAAATCCATTATTTTTAATTAATAGTAAAACTTACTTACTTTATTATAGATTAATAATTTATTAATATAATCTTCGAATAGAGAGTTATAAATATCTCTAATAATTTTAATTCGTAATTCGAGAACGTTTAATATATATAATCTATTATTAATATATAATAACTCGTTATAAAAGTAATAATTACTTAGTTTTAATTTAAGATTATTCTTAATTATTTTAAATAGTAACTTTCTCTATTTAGATATCTTTAATTAAATAATTTCTTAAGTAATATTATTATAATTATAAGCGTTTTTTATTTAATATAATAATTTAGAAGTATTAATAGTAGAGACTTCTCTTAATTCTTCTAAAAACTTCTCTTAAGAAGTCTCTATTAAGGCTTCTAATAGTAATTCTTTATTAAACTTCTTATTATTAATATTATTTTATTTGCTAAATTTATATAGTATTATAGCTAGAGAAATAATATTTTTTCTTATATTATTTAAAAGTATAATAATAAGATATATAATATTCTTAATATCTTCGTTAAAATTATTATTTTTAAAAATTATATAATATTAATAATAAGTATAATTATTATTCTTATTTTTAGATAAATCTTTTACTTATTAAGTAAGATTATTAAATTTAATACTTTATTTTCTTAGACGATAAATAATATAAAAGTTAAATTTAAAAAGAAATCTCGTCTATTTTATTTAATAAAAGTTAAGTTATTTAAAAAATATAAAGTATTATAAGTTTTTATAATTTAAAATAATTTTAATAAGATTCTTAATAAAAGTACTAATTACCTTAAAATATTATTTCTTAAAGATTTATATTATAATTATAAGTTTCTTATTATAGATATTATAGTTATACTCTATAAGAGATATCTTTTTAGAGAGAACTATTATAAATCTAAATACTTCGTCTTTATCTTTTTATAATAAAATAGTAATAATTATAAAATTAGATATATTTATTTCTAATTAAGTTTTTTTATCTAAATTAAAATAAATAAATATAGAAGTAGTAATAAAAGCTTTCTTAAGTATTTTAAAGGCGAGTTATTTAGAGTATTCTTAAATCTATAAATAGATAAAGTCTTTTTTCTATTAAGTATAAATAAAATTTGTTAAAAGTATAACGATTTTAGAGTATCTCGTAATAAACTTTTAATAGAAATTAGCGAATTTTAGAAATATTTATATATCTTTAATATATCTAAATTCTTTTTATTAAGTAATAATTTTAATTTTCTTTATATTTATTTCTACTTTTTTTGTTATAATAATTAATTTTAGATATTTAACTCTAATAATATAGAAGTTATATTTATTAATATTAAGATAGAGATTAGCTTATTAAAGTTTTTCTAATATCTTTTTTATATATTAAATATATTTATTTTTAATATTATTATAGATAAGAATATTATTTAAATAGATAATATAAAATATATTTAGATATTCGCGTAAGATATTATTAATAAATATTTAAAAAGTAATAAAAGTATTATATAACTTAAAAGATATTATTATATATTCGAATAGACTATATCGAGTAAGAAATATAATTTTTTTTTCTAATCTTTTTTTACTCTAATTTCGTTAAAAGCGGCTATAATATTAAATTTACTATATATTCTCGCCGCGTATAATTTAGCGAGAGTCTCTTTAATTAATAAAAAAGTATTTTAATTAAAAATAGTAAATATATTAAAAGCTCTATAATCTATATATAATCTAAATTCTCTATCGAATTTCTTTATTATTAGAATAAGTACTACGTAGAGAGAAATACTTAATTTAATATAATTTTTTTTTAATATTTTATTAATATATTTCTTTATAACTAATACTTAATCTTTAAAAAATTTATAAACCCTTTTTAATAGTAAAATAGCTTCTTTTTTAAAATCTATTTTATAATTAATAAAGCGATAAAGAACAAGTTTATTAGTTTTAATAGAATTTTAAATATCTAATTATTCATAATATATTATAAAAACTTATTCTTATAATTATTTTATAATTAAGAGTTTCTTTTTTAATTTATAAAATAATTTCTTATAATCTTCTATTATAATAGCGACGATATTAATAATAAACTTTACTTCTTTATTAATAAAATTAAAAAATTATTTAAAATCTTAAAATTATATAATAATAATTTAATTCTCTAATTTTTTAATTATTTTAATAAAGATATAGGCGAAGATTTTTACTATATTTTTTTCTTTAAATATAATCTTTATTATATAATTTAAATTCTTTTTTAAAAATTTATTATTACTTTAAATAGTAATAGATTTATTATATAATAAATAATTAGATATATAATAATCTAAATTAAATATAATAATTCTAAATTTAAAGAATATATAAGAGTTATATTATTCTAATTATAATATATCTAGAATAATATTAAATCGTTTTAATAAGATAATTAAGTATTAATTTTTTTATATATAATCTTTTAAGATAAGTTTTATTAAAATTATATATATAATATTAAACGTAAAGATAAATTTATTATTAGCTAGTTATAATCTATAGAATTATATTAATATTACTTTAAATAGTTTATTTAATTTAATAAAAGATATATTTATAAAGCTTAATATTAAAGCTCTAATATTTAAGAGATAATTAATCTTAATCTATTTTTTTAATATAATAATTTTTCTATAAAAGTTTAATTAATATTTAATCTATAAAGAGGCTTTAATAATAATAATATAAGCGAATAGAGAGATAAAAGCGAGTATTCTTTCTCTTTCTAACTCTTTAATTTTTATATATAAAAATTTTAAATCTTTAACGGCGATTTAATTAAGAATATTTAATTTTTTAATTCTTATAATAGTTTAACGAAGACGCTCTTTTTAACGCTAACGATTTTTAAAATTATATTAATTTATTCTTTTATTAATAGATCTATATTTTTATATAAAATACTATTATCGCTAAAATAATATCTAATCTTTAAATATTTAAAATATCTATCTTTTTTTTAAATTTATTTACTAATAATTTAAAATACTTATATTTTTATATATAAGAATTTTTAATAATAATATTATTATTTCTTTTAATAGAGAAAGTATTACGCTAATTATTTAAGAGAATAAATTTTTTATAATTATTACTAGTTTTATTAATTTCTTTCTTACTTTTTAGATTTAATATATTATTAATAACTCGAAGATTTATATCTAATACTTATAGAAAAATAATTAATTCTTAAAAAATATTAAAAGATTATTCTAAAATTTAAAATTTTAGATATATAGAGATTAATTATTTTAGATTAGATATCTTATAGATATTAATAAATTTTAAGAGAGTAATAGTTATAAAGAATTATACGTAAAAGTTCTTAAACGTTTTCTTCTTATTTATTACTTTTATATTAAATTTAAATTTAAATATCTTAATATTTAATTTAATAATTTTATTATATATTTCGAATATATTATCTAATTTATTAATTATTTCTTAAATATTTTAATATAAATTTAAGATATCTTTATTTACTTTTATTTTAATAATATTATATATAGTAAACTTATAATAATTTTATATATAATTAATTTTTTTAAGTTTAATAGAAAAGATTATAACGTTTTATCTTAATTTCGCTTTAAGATATTAACGTTAACTATTCTACTTATTTCAATTATTAATATTATAAAAATTTAAAATATTAAAATATTATTTATTTAATTCTATATTCTTTACGCGATTCGTAATAAAATTATAATATAAGTTTTAATAGATATTATTAATAAAAATACTCGACTAATAAGATATAATCTTTATATTTTTCTTATTAGAGTTTTTTAAATTAGCTAATATATAAGATTATTATTTCTTTAACTATTACTCTTTACGCTTTAAATCTTATTTAAATTTCTTATTTTCTTTAATAAGTTTTATAATATTAATATAATATCTATTATATAAATCTTAAAGTCTACTATTAATTTCTCGCTTATAAAATAATTAGCTATTATTATTATTTAGCTAAATAATAATTATTAATATCTTTATCTTAGCTTAAGCGATATTCTAATTAAATTCTTTATTTTATTATTAAAATATTTTAATATTATAATTAATAGTTTAAAAGCTCTCTATTAAAGTTTTTAATTTATTATATTAAGTATTAAAAGTATTAATAGCGCTTTCTATAAAATTCTATAAGTTAATAATAAATATAAAGATTATAATTAACTCTTCTTCGATAATATTTATAAGTTATACTTCGATATAACTTAAACTAAGTTTAATAATATATCTTCTAGAAATAAGATATTTTCTCTTATATCGTACGAATAATATAATAATATTTAAGATCTTCTTATCGAAGTTCTTAAGTTCTTCTAAATAATAATATATCTATAATTTATCTATAATAATTTAACTTTATATATTATCTAGATTTAAGATTAAGAGATTTATAGCTAGTATTAAGCTAGTAAAAGTATAGAGAAGATTTAATTTAAAATCGACTATTTCTTTTAATATACTAAAGATATTTATTTCCTTTAGATTTTTATTTAATCTAGTTAAATTAGCCTTTATATAAGTAAAAGACTTTTATTAAGAAATTATTATGGTTTAACTCATATATGTATGTGGTGTAAAAAGATGTTGATTGTTCTATGTGCCCGCAGGGCAGATATGTGCGGTGCCAAGCCTACGCTAGTGGCCCTATGGGTAGCCCTGAGGCATCTCATGACAATTGCCCACAAAAAAACAGAGAAATGCCATGTCCTCATGGCAAGAAGTATGCATGCATGATTCTTCGAATGCCGGAAATGAATGGAGATGCCAGGCTAATTAGTGGTGTGCATCCCGCGAAATCTCCTGCCGCAGTGAAAGCTTTTGAATAATGAAATGGATGTTGAAGCAAGACATCGGACGGTTTCAATTCGTCCAAATATGTATCGTCCGAACTTCCTCCTGTAGAGGGCCCAATTGGCTGTGATCGTCGCAGTAGATCCTCCTCTTGTGACGTCATCGCAGTGATGTACCATATCAATGCAGTGGGGATAACAGGCCAAATTGCAGTGGTGTTCTCCGTTTGCTGAGTGGCGATTCGACATGGGAGCGTGGAGAGTAGACCTGTGTTCTTGGTGATGGGGGCCTTACTGCCGCTTGGTTTCTCTGCAGTGTTCTCCACAGTGTTCTCCGCAATCTTCTCCGCAGTGTTCTCCGCATTTGCCTGTTGTAGTGGTTCCTCCTCTTGCTGAGTGATTGGCTGAGTGGCTTGCTGAGTGATTGACTGAGTGGATTGCTGAGCTGGCGGGGTAGGTAGTGCTGACTGAGTAGCTTGTAAGGCCTCAAGTCTAGCCCATTCTTGACGTATGTAGGCCGCTCGGTCTTGAAGGATTTTGGCTTGCTGTAGGAAGAATTTGCAGTCCTCTTCGGTGACGAAATAGGATGGTTTGTTGCCTCTTTCTAAGCAGTGTTAAGCTTCTGCGTTATACTCCCATGGGTAGCATTCTCTTAGGATACCGTTGTCGTATACTTGTAGGGTCTGTAGGAATGCTTGCATTGTGATATCGACAGGCCTATCAAAAGGATCGATTTGGACGGGGTGTCAAAAGGTACTCGATGACAGCGAGTGTGTTGGAGGTCCGGCTTGGAGCGTCACACTATTAGGTGTTGATGTGGGCTTTGCGTAAACGTGTGGTGTAGACGTGGCTCGTAGAGACGTCTACTACATCGTAGGATCAAGTGGAATTAGATCTTAAGGTGTTGCTACCAATTGTTAAGGAATCATTATGGTTTGACTCATATATGTATGTGGTGTAAAAAGATGTTGATTGTTCTATGTGCCTGCAGGGCAGATATGTGCGGTGCCAAGCCTACGCTAGTGGCCCTATGGGTAGCCCTGAGGCATCTCATGACAACTTTCTTTTAAATAATCTTTTGAGTAGTAAGTTTCTTTAGCTATAACTACTAACTTTTTAATAATATACTCTCTTCTTAGCTATATATATAATATAACTAGTAAATAAATCGTTATCGCTCTAGAAGAAAGATAGATAGTATTATATTAGAAACTTAATAATATATATAATAACTCTATATTATAGTATAAAGAGAATACTATCTATATAGAATTATTATAATTATAGATTTTATAGTAAGATAGAAAGATCGAAAGGCCTTAATACGCTAAGCTTAATTAGGCTATAATATAAGTAAGATTATTAAAATTATAATAAGATAGTAAAAGAAGAGATAGAAGAGATAGAAGAAGCTAAAGAGGTAGTAACTATTTTTTTAAGATATGATAGACCGATAAGGCTTAAAAAATGATGATTTAGATTCTCCGATCTTAAGTCTGAATAGAAATAAAAGACTATTATTAGTATACTAGTTTGCCATATAAATTTGATAAAAGATAGACATTTTGGTATTGCGTCGGATTTATCGGATTTAAGAGCGTGCAAATGAGGGTAACGTGCAAATAGGGGTGGAAACGATTATTAATACTCGTAGTATCCAGAAGTGAGCTACGACGCTAAAATCTTAGCGTCTTGGCACCCGATTTCGCGGAGAACTGAGTAGTTTGATTGGTCAACTCTCCCGGCGCTACTAAGCGAGGTAGCTCACTTCTGGATACTACGAGTACATGCCAAGACGCCAAGGTCATTTGTCAGCAAATTCCGCGCCGTTTGCCAGACCTGCCAAGATCGCTGAGTCCCTCCGGGTTAGCCTTCAGGTTCCGCAGTAAGCAGAAGGCGCTAACCCGAAGGGGCTTAGCGATCTTGGCAGGTCTGAGGGACCGAGGCAAGCCGGGTCCTTTCAGCCTTCTTATCAAGACATCTGTACCCAGATAACATCCCAGCCAGTATAACATACAAGGTGCAGAGCAACGATGAAAGAGCATGCAGAAAACATTTGTCAGACCGGGGCCTGAACTGTCTGCATTGATGGCGACAGCACATCACAGCCCCGTAGTCATCAGACAATCAAGACATGGCAAGTTGTTGGTAGCAGGTTGTTGTTAACGGTGCACATCAGAGCCTGCAAACACTCCCGGGATGTCCGCCGAGCCCTCATCTGTTTGATCGCACTTGCCTCACAGGCCCAACAACGATGCGTTCCATGCCAAGGTCACTTTGAATTGAAAAGTAGAAGAGCAGACGTGTGAGTTTTATATTCGGACCATCATAAAAGCCGCGGCTTGCAAAAGGAATGCAAAAAGACTGTCTACGGCATAAAACAAGTGACGGGAACTGGGAAAACCTTTTGCGAGACACTCCTATCTAGGCAACCACAAAGAGTGTCCATCCTCGTCCGGCCCATATCGCTGTACATCTTTACCACCCAGCCACCATCGTGCCATCGTGAAGCGAACGTTCAAGGAAAAGAGCGAGTTCCCGCGCCAGCAACCCATATCCGACGAGGCCATTGACTCTGCCCAAGGCATGTACAGAGTCTTGCCAAAGCTCCAGCTATCCAGTCAGGCCCACAGCAGCGTCCATGCCTTCTTCAAAATGGGGGTCTTCGTTGGCGACCCCAACGTCTTGCTCCGGCATCGCGTGGGCGGGAGTGGAGGGCCTTGAGGCCTCCGTGCCTTCATTTGGTGCTCGGGCATTGACCCGAGATCTTTCTTCATGATTCTGTGGATCATAGATGGGCTGTGGAGGACGGATTCCGAGCGTAAGATTGGCCGCCTGGTCAGGTCCAGAGCCTACGGCGCCCGGCATCGTGACCGGAGATTCTGATATGATATCTTCAAGGTCAATACCATTTGCAACAACTGTCCAGAAAGGTAAAAAAGTTGTCAGCTATTGGCTCTTTACACCTCTTGTGCGTTGGTCAAAGTTGGAAGGGAAGGAAAGCCCACCAGCCGCAATGGAAGCAGAGCGTGTGCCCCAGATTGTTGGCATCAGATTATACAAGTTTTTGATCAGGAAGGCCACCCCGATCATGACGAATATGCGGGTGACTGCGAGGACGTAGATGTTGTTATTCCAGTCTGATTGCTGGGGAACCGGCAGAGCTGGCATCGTGCGCCTGGCGGCTGGCAGGAGTTGTACTATTTGAGATACGTTGGATATTATGAGTGGTGTGTGACTTGCGATATCTTTCCTTCGTCAAGGTGTCAGTGTCAGTGCAGACAAGAGAGACACCATCACTATATTAGTTGCATCTTTTCCATCTTGTTCAACCAATCAAATCAAGCATGCCCATCTTCCCGTCCCCCATCTTAGCGCTCCCGCAGGTACCACGATCGATTGTCATGACCGCCGTGCCAAGTGTTAGGCTTTTGTCTCCCAAAGGACATGGAAGAAAACTTTCAGTATAAAGTATGCTCCGATTATATGTTTCTTCGTCTTTGTCGGCGAAAGTTCTCCTTCATATTGCATTGCTACCTCGTCATTGATCGTCATTGAAAGATATATACAAAGTACCTTAGTTTGGCCATATGTGGGTTTCACTGATTAGATAAATACCCGTGAGGTGCTACTCCTCTTGGAGATTGCGGATTTCTGCCTATTATTGCCTGCTTTTCCCTCGCCTAAGAATGCTAAGAATGCTACACCAATCACTTCCGCTGACAGATCATTCGCCGCCTTCGCCTATTGGCCTCGTGCGGCCGAGAAGTCTGAGCTCTTGCACGGAAGTATCCACTCATCGGTGCCGGTTATACAGCCCTCAGCGAATGGTCCGATTGGTGGTTGGACCCGCGCCGAGTACGGTAGAATCTCGGATTTACCCGATCGGGTTAGTATCTTTGACAGCTCCTCTCGTTTGCAACTTCAACGTTGTCTCCACTTTTCTCCAGGAGCTCGGCTTACGCGTAAAGTGAACCGCACGTATCACGTGAGATGCTGCAGCTTTAGTCGTACATGTTCCGATTCTCCGTTTTCTGCAAGTCTTCGACCAGTCTGTTATTGATTTCCCCTGCCACGCAGAGTAAACACCGTAATTCCATCGCCCCTTTTGCGCGCAATGAACGCCAAAGCACCTTCTGAGCTGAGAACTGCAGAGTAGGTACGGATGAAGCTCACGAGCAGATGTGCTGCAGGCCGCCGTACTTCGTACACTCCTCTCTTGTCACGTATGAACAAGGCGAGGACTTGTATTCAAGCAGCATGCAACGTTTCTAGGCTCCACTTCGTTGATGAAGACAACATTATTAATGCGAAAAACCCAGAATTGTCAATCTTCTTGCATTGAAGAACCGATCAGGTTCGGTTCTCTACAGAGCGCTCATATGTTGTATACCCAGGGCGGCAAATTCGCTAATATTCTGATGCTCCTTAGTTATTGATATGATGTGTACAGTCGACCGAACGTCGGGAGCAACTTTTAACGACCAAGGGTTTTTACTGTGGCCTACCCAATTTTCTCAAAAACGAATGTCTCACGTTGCCTAAATGCTCGCTTGCAGCTTCTTGTAGTGATATCGATGGGTGCAAACTTCCGGGACTGGACAGTTGAACGTGGAGGCGTCATTGCATATTGCTCTAGCAAAAGGCCATGAAACGAATGCTTAATGGCTGCCACGGTTTCTACTCGTGAGGCAGAAGTATCCATACCTACCAATCGATGCCGGTCATGTTACCCTCAGTCAACAATTCAATTGGTGGCTATATCTGCGCCGGGTTGCCAAGTGACTCGGTGGACTTCTCTGTGCTTGGGGGTATCATTACTCAACCGTGTTAGATTCGATTCCTAATGGCGCTGGTACAATGATGTAGTGGATTTTTTGTGCTTTCATTCCTTTCTCGGCCACCCGATTAGGGTTGGCTGCAGGAGGCAGCTCGGTCAACTAGGTTGGAGAGGGAGAAAGTACCCGTTATCATATGAGCTCGGCTCTGTCTTCATAGTGCCTGGAGTTTTGCAGTGGAAAGGAAAGTAAGCTTTTGTGATACTCGATCGAGCTGGCTCATAGTGCATTGCATGCCACACCCAACCCGGCTCACGTCGCTTTTTTGACCCTTTGAACCTGACGACTGTGCTTCTGTTTCGTAACCATGCCTTACTTTTTGAGTCCTGAGGATCGTAATCCCTAAATTTTCTTCTTTTTTGACAATGGTTCAGTAACCGCAGTGTCTTGCTGAAAAACGACCCCGCTAGTACGGGCTGTCTCTTTCGCTTCTGGGCGGTCGATCCGTACCCCCCTGAAAACCGTGCCTGAAGACATTGCAGGGTAAAGTGTTGTAATATGATCATGTCTATCTCAACTCGAAACCTCATATGGACCACTATTTTAGACCTCAATGAGGCAAAAAGTGGTTGCCAGCAAAGCTGTACGGATGATAAATTGTACAAGGAAGGAACGAGTGATGAGGGATCTTCATCCTAAAGCCGGAGATGCTTCTGTTCCAAACATTTCTTGAGTCGAGATGCATGACTAAAAGTCACCCCTAAACACCCCGAGTCCAGTATTCTTAAAGTCGACAAGCTCCTAAATCCCAACCGTGCGTCCTCTGAAGTCTTCAACACTGGCGACAGCACCCGCTGTCTTTCCACTGCTCCTGTTTGGTCTTTCTTGCTTTAAGCATACTGTCTCACCACCACCGGACAGCACCGGTCTATCCTCCATCACATTCCTTTACGCAATCCTGCCACCACTTCCCGGATCAACCTTACCTGCAATGCCCCTCTTCGAAATAGTACAAGGGCGCCACCTCTGGAGAAAAGAAAAAATCCTCCTCGTCTTCGCCCTCCGAAGTGTCTCCCAAACGATGGGCTGTCCTCTTTCGGAATTCCACGTGCATTTTATGCAAGGAACCCGCGACACTGCTGAACCCATTGCCAGGAAGCGTGGTCTTTGATCGTATCGAGCGTTATGTGTCTTTGCCATATTACTCACGCTTGCTAGTATGGACGTAGCTCTGCCGTTGGCGATGATGGAGAAGAAAGTCGCAAGGAGGTGGCTTACTGATGGTACCGGTCTGATTGAAAACCGTAGAGGAGGAGGAGGTGGTGGAGGAGGTCGTTGCGACTCCCTTTCATTAACTTCGATCCGTTTCTCTCGCTTTCATGAGGTAGACAGACGTCCTGGTACCACAGTCCCGTATCGTGTTCTCATCAACTCATTACGAGCTTCCGGCGCTCAAAATTTCCAAGGACCCTGGAGTTTCGTAACAGACGAGTATCATCGGTTACTGCGGGTTGCACAGCGAGTGCCCTACGCTTCAAGATTCGACCACGGCAATAGGCGCAGATCGCTCTAGGTATAGAAAGCGATCTTTCGGTGGGAGGCATGGCTGGCTATTCGAGGCCACCACGACTTTCGGCTATAAACAGCTGCGGCAATCTCCAAGATGAGATCTGTCGACCTGCATGCACTGTACCTTGACCACAATAGCTGAATTCTAGTCGCACCATAATTATACCTCTTTATGAGGCCTCTGTGCGACTCTAACACAAATCCGAGCAGCACATCGGTCAGGAGGATAAACGCCTTACATTTGCGTTGGCTGTCGGCAAGTGCACCAGTGTAAATGGGCGTCTGTGTCCCATTATACATTATACATCATATGACCACTCCGATACTTTGACTCGATGAGTATGAGTAGACTGAACAGTATGAGAGGGTGGAATTCTGAGTGGCAGCATATGTCAAACGCACATAAAGACTTGAAAGCTTGCAGCACCATCCAGACAGATCGCAAGCAATACAAATGAATCATAATGACTGTCGCTTTTTTACAAGATTGTACGACTCAAGCATCGCACTTGGCTACCACGTTGAAAACAAATGCCCAGACGTCACGGCGCGTTCCACTCTCTGTTGATGCTCACGACGGCTCCGGTGACAGCGAGAACCCTGAAGTCTAGCTTCTTTTCCCTTCTCCGATGTTTCAAAAGGCTAAAATGCCCGTCGCTACGCGCGGATGCGCTCCAATAAACCTGACGTCTGGTTGCGTTCAAATTGTAGCAGCTCTTCTACCGCTATGCGTGCACACCCAATTGCAAAGTTAACCCGTTCTTCGGACTTTGTGAGATCGAATTCCTCTGAACGCCTCACTTGTGGGGGATCCATGTCTTGAAGACCTCGTGAATTCTCTTGAAGCTGGTTCAGATACTCTTTGGTAGCGTAGAAACGGCTGATGTAGCCTTTCAGGCCGTGCCAGGAGATGAGATATGACTACAGCAATTATTGAGCCAGTTTTACCAGAACAGGTTGGGGAACCCACCTTGTATGATTTCTGCTTCCTCGCTGCCTTTTTTTCCAGGACCGCGCCGAGCAACTCCGAAACCTCTTGTCCCAAAATCTCTTCGTCGTTCAATTTGTGATCCCTCTTTTTGAACTAAGCATAGTGTAAGCAACCGTGTTAAGAAGGAGCTTTGGTAATTCTGATAAGAGGTAGAAGAGTACACACTTCTAAGACCACTCCGATCTTTTTTCTTTGCTTGATTTTGCCAAACACAAGTTGTAGAACCAAGTCGGGGTGCGTCGACATATCTGTTTTGTCAATCTGTATGTGGTGCGGACGCGGGTCCCTAGGTATCTCCATTCAACAATGTTGACATCTCAAAAGTTCGCCCGAGCAACTGACCTTGTCTCTAACACTAAGCTCTGCTCCGCTATTCTCTTGGGTTCCACACCGTTCTTTGTGTTCTTGATAGCGTCGTGTACAAGCGCTAGAAAAGCTCGGCCGGCCGCCTTAACATCTTCCTCTGACTTATCATGTGAAGCCGCTTCCGAGGCTCCGCCAGCATCTTCTCCTTCCTCTTCGTCATCTTCACCACTGGTATCTTCATCATCTTCCCCCTCGTCACTGTTTTCTTCTCCATCATGGATCGCAAACTGCGATATCCGATGTTGCGATACTATACTGGAAGGAGCGCCGTCACTCTGAATTCGAGGTCGAATATTGAAAGGGGGCTTTTGACCGAAAGATGCCGTTTGAATCTTTACTTCATGGCCAGGTGTCTGTAGATCATGTTGCCCAGTGACCGAAGACTGCTTGTTGGAAGGAGGCTCAAAACGATCTGGTGGACTAGGCGGTTTTGGATCTTGTTGCCGATGATCTAATGGGCTATTTGGAGGGCGCATGAGGTGACTTGGTGTCGCTGGACTTTTTAACTGATGACTGGGCGTCTTTGTATCTTGTCGCTGAGGGATAGGTGACCCTCCGCGTTGTTGTTGAGAACTTCGTGAGTCTTCAGTGTGTCCTGGGGCTATCATTGTCCCCCCGCATTCTCGTTGAGGGCTTCTGTTTTCTTCTCGTTGTCGCTTCCGACTGAGGAGCTCAGGCATGTGCAGCTGGGGATCTAAAACCCATGTTTGCCGCTGTAAGGGGGTTGGTGTTCGTTCAAATTCTCGCAGAGTATCCTGTGTGCCTCGGCGGTGTTGTTGAGGAGTTACTGACTGGCTTTTCGCGGAGGGTGGTGTACGGTGCTTAGTACTTGACTGCGTGTTCGAATGCGTGTTGAAAGCATCATTTTCTTCCCTCTCGAGTATTAAAGCTTGAAGACAGCCGAAGATTGAGTTTGATGCCTTGTGATCATTATTGCAAATCCAATACCACTCCCCTTTAAGATCTTCTCGGAGGCTTGTAGCGATCTTACTAGATTGCGGAAGCTCGCTTTCTTGAGAAAAAATGTCCATCAAGTCGTAACCAGATTCGCAGAGAACATGTAACCAGTTGAGGTGTAATTCGTTCCAGGTCGAGCCAGATGGACCCTTATTTGGAGTATTCAACGTTAGCATGCCTCATCCTGAAGAGGAATGTATGTTAAAGATTAATTTTAGGAGTGATTTATGGGCAAGAATTTCCTCTTGTTCCTGAAACATGTCATGCAATTGAAATCGCAACACCGATCAGAAAGGAATCGCCTGCAAATAGACACACCTTCTTATTTCTTTCAGAGCCCTTCTTAGAACCCTTCTTGACACCCTTCGCGGATCCCTTCTTGTCCAAGTCCTCTTGCGGAAGGAAGGGGGACTTAGCACCTGTAAGGACTTCGAACTGTCTCTTACTTAGTTGCGACATGTTAATAATAAAGAAAGATGAAGTAAGGCTGTGTACGATAGCGCATGTAGACTTATGTATATATTCGCTAAGAAAAGGATGAACTATGTTCGTGCGCAAGACACGAGGAAGTATTTCATGAGCGTAAGAGTTCACGTTGTTGACACCACTTGTCGGCGCGGAGTTGAGCGATACTGAACCAGGCAGCAACAGGGCTAAGATAGCTTAGTACACTAAGTAGGAAGTTAACTCAGAGTGGTTTGTACCTCTCGAAAGATTTGCCAGCAGTCTAGTTGAACAATGAAATTATACTCCACTGCAACATATCACAGTAAAGAAGACATCCAATTGAACCGTAGAACAAGACTGACGACATATTTAGAGAATAAAAACATTCCTCTCCGACGCTTCGACTTTACAGCCTGGAAACACGATGTGATATATTTTCAGACGGACTCTGATTAAGATATTATGCCTCAGACTTTTCGGTATCCAGACCCAGAGGACTTTCCCGCAAGTCGTAGAGTTTTTGAGCCAGTGTCAAAACATGTTGAAAGATGTAAAGTACTCTATGTGGCACTGAAGGTTTTGCCGCACCGAGAAGCTACTTTAGGTGGATGGTTGCCGGGTCACCGCGCTAACACGGAAAAATTCCGCAGCAACAAGACCTCACCTCAAACATGCTTGATCTGCTCAACCAACAACCCATCATGCTTCCACCGCTCGACACGCGCAAATTGAATGCCCTCTTACGCGACGATGACCATGACGAAAACGAGGAGCTCGAATGCGATCCTCGTGGTCACATAAGCATCGTCAGGGAGTCTATCGCAGAGGACAGGAACTGGTCAGAGGGCGTGATGAGATTATTGGAATTATGGCCAAGAACCAATCCGCGGTTCTACCGCAAGAAGCCTTTGAGCACACGTCATCCTTTATATGACAAGGGAGGCCCCAACAACTGGTGGATCGAACTCGACGTACGTTCCCAATTCCATCTCTGAGTCAGCGACACTGCTGATCGTTCATCTAGGACACCTTCTTCGGTAGCCTTCGCCTCAAACCAAGTCGTGGCGGTATCATCAACATCTATGTTTTCGGTAAATGCGTCCAATCTTTCCAAATTATGGGGTGTCGTCGAAATTGGCCAGCAATGATCTTGTGGATCTGGGATTACGGCAACAAGTTTGAAGCTGTGAAATCGAAGCAAAAAGGTCGGAAGCTCTCGACCCTTGAGGTGTTGCCTCTTTAATAACATCAGTGCAGTATCGAACCCTCATGCCAGAGCACATGGCCAACGCCAGCGTGTCAACAAGCCTCTGCTTCATAAAGTACTACGCACAGCAACATTCAAGGCGCAACATGGAAGAGTAGCAAAGGCGAAGGATGTGGCCATCGTTCCAGATGACACAGATCTCGAAATGGACGATGTTGATTCCACGGTGCCGCTATGCGACACCGCCCCGGATGCGGCAGATTCCAGTGGACATACGGGATTGGCATTACAAACAAGGGGCATGAGAGATGATCAGAGGACGTCTAGTGTTACGACTGAAGATATCGATATCGGGGCCTTAGAAGTTTTCGATCACAGCCCGTGAGAGGACTTAGGCACTGTAAGGAGGGTTCCGACATTTACGGAGCCCACATCCTTACGATCTTCCGTTCAGCACTGCGCACGACACCTTCGCCTGTCTGCGAGGTCATGATTATGACGCCGTACCATGTCAGAGCTCATGAGCCTACGAAGTACGAAAGCATGCGTTGGCATTTGTACTATACACAAGTTCCGGGTCAGATCTTGCGACTACGGCGGCATGCATCTTGTGTAAATCACTTTTTCAAGCATGAGCTGCTATTCTTCTCTGGATCTTTGACTATCGGCGAATGCAACTCATCTCTCAGACTTAGGCCTACTCTCAGCTTCGCAAGATAATCGACGAACAGCTGGCCCATTTTGCTCATTGCCAGATGACGACGTATCCCTCCGACTACCCAAATGGGTTTCGCAGCACCAATTGCTTGAAGCGTACTCATCATATCCCAAGGCCAAGGTCGATGATCCATCGTGCTGCATCATGACCAAGCGAAAGAGGTCGGAAGTGATGGCCTCCCATAAGCCTACGTATAAATGAACGCTTCACATTTAGATATCAGAGGGTGTTTCATATGGTCTGATACACTCGCGAAGTCTTACTTTACAACATATATATCCCTTGAGACCTAGAATACTGCCAGAAGTGGGCCCCAACACATCATCGCCTAGGGGAGGGAACCCCCCTAGGCCTTTGCTTCCCGGAGTCCACCTCTCCAAGGACCAGAGGGTTTCTAAGAACACCTCTCGCGTCTGAGCACTGATCTCTCGGGACATCATCTCAACGGAAACGTGCCCCAGGGGGAAGACCTCATTCACAGGAACGCTCCCATGAGAGAAAGCGCACCAAGAAGACGACGCCTAGGAGAGTCTGCAGCTGACGAGAGTATGTACGGAACACACCAACGGATCAACAACTCCTTTTTTTTTTTGGGAGAAAACCAAAGCTGTGTAGTCTCCAAAGTCTATCACACCTCATGTTTTGAGAAAAGTGTTTTGGGGCAAGAAGGGTCACCAGACACATCATCTCTGGTGACCGATGTCAGGAGACCAAGGAAGAGATCTCGAGATGTATCGTTGGTCTACCACCAGCCCTGCAAAACCATAAACAAGTCTTCATGATCAGGGCTCAAGGGTGGCTCCCGTTGGGCGTATCCCCGTGCTAAATGAGTTGCCCTCGCTTGGGGTACCCCCATGCTGGGGTGCACCATCGTGGTTATATGTGCACACCAGCACTGTTACAGCCTCTTACCAGTAACATATTGACCGTAGCTTTTCCCTTTGAGGGGAAACCTACTGTCACGTGCATTAATTTGAGAAAGCATTAAAGATGAGTCCTTATTCATACAATCCATCAGGACCTTCGCTCCCCCCACACCGACAGTCGCTTTGTTTCGCTGGTTGACAGACCATCTTGTTGTAAACAAAGCGTCCTACGCTGCAGCCACCACCGTACTTATTGCAGGCCTGGACGCAAGTGAGAGTTGATTAAACTTGCATTCGCTATGTGCGTTCGTAAAGGGCTATGGTAATTGCGCTCAGATGTTTCTGCAACCTTCTGCGCCGCATATGAGTAAGTTCAAACTCGTGGCGAGTTGGATGGATTGGCAACTTGGTTCCAATGGTAGAATGGTTGGCAAAGCTCGCGTACGCGAAACACGCGGGATGATATCATATCGCATGCCGGCCGTGGGGTCTTTCAAGGCTGCCTGCTGTTTCTTCCTTCGACTCAGTATGTATCCACGACAAAACTATACAGGCATACAGCGTAGTCTTTCGGATCCCGGCAACAGATTTAGTCCTGCGCGGGTAGGATGAAATGTCGAGTATTACTTTTGTTACAAGAGATACGTCAGGCAGACTATCGAGCTGAACAATCTCTATGATTTTGCGGCTGAAGGTGCTGTCGTGTAAATAGTCGGAATTGGAACAGGATGAACAACATTTTGAATGACGGGCTTGTTCGTGAATCGCGAGGAGTAGTGAGTCGATACAACTTGTTTGTCTTGCGTTCGTCTGCTGACTTCTCTTCTAGAACAGACCGGAAGCGCTTTCATTCTCAGTATATAGAGTCTCCGGTCTTCCACCTGCCCGCAGCATCGAAGATATTGCTGGTCTCCTGGAGCGCTCACTTGACACGTCGTCAGAGAAATCGGGATTGCAGATCACCTCTTTGGCGGAAGACTGCTACCAGTCAGATAGACAGGTAGCCACCCTGACTTTTTCCAAGACGCCGGAGTCACTCCTCCGCGTTAACGACGAAAATCAATGGCCCATAAAGCTTTCAGGCACAGATTACGACTCGCAATCTGGGAGAACTGAGGCCCTGATCTTCGATACCCACTTTTGCGGCTTGACTCCACTTAATACAGTAGGGACAACGGCAAACTCCACAGACTGCATCGTCGTCTGTGGTTTAGGAACCAATGCCTTCGGTACTTTCAAAGAGAAAGGCGGCTCATACATGTGGTTGCGCGACTCCCTACCAAGCGATCTTCCTAACATGCGAGTCCTCCTTTACGGCTACAAATCGGAACTTCGAGATAGCTGTTCCAATCAGAACGTGTCAATAATAGCAGATAACCTGGCCGGTCATTTCAGCATTTTGCGCCATCAGTCAAATGTAAGTAAGACACCACCAAAATTACCGCTTTACTGATTTTGAAAGACAATCTCGAAACCACTTATTATAATTGCCCAGAGCCTAGGTGGCCTATTTTACAAAACAGGTAATACCTTGCAAGTATTTTGCTTGGCCCGCAAACCCGCCTTACTGACCGTCGCATTCCCAGGCCATCATCAAATTGAGTCGCGGAACAGATTCAGAAAAAGAACAAATCCGGTCGATTGTCGGAATGCTGTTCTTTGGTGTACCCAATCGAGGTATGGATATAGACTCGCTACGCGCCGTTGTCGGCGATAGACCCAATCGGTATCTCCTGGAGTCTATCGGCAAGAGCTCGGATTTCCTGCTCGAACAGAACGTCAATTTTCCACTTGCCTTTCCCTTCAGAGACAGTCCCATCTTCTCCTTCTTTGAGACCCAGAGCTCGCCGACGGCCTTGGAAGTAAGTCTTTGGAAAATGTATATCATTTTTCCGACTAATTTCAAAAGGTCGACGGATTTTGGAAGATGGCAGGCCCACGGAAACTTCTCGTGGATCGCTTTTCGGCAACATACCCACGTCCATGGGACTCTGACTCGTTCCATGAGCCATTTGACCGCACTCACAGTAATCTTGTCAAGTTCTCTGTTGGAGATATCGACTACCAGCGCGTCCTATTCAAATTGCGCGAGATCAGGTCAAAGGCCACCACACTCCTGACATCGAGATTCCACGATCAAGGTATGAGCCCCACAGTCTGTGCGTTATATCAATGGCACTATACCCCATCTCTTTGTCTTTGAACTAGTTGCACCCTACTCTTCTTACTAGCTGCATATTCAACCTGTTGTCCAGCCTTTAAAGAAACCGATGACTGACATTTATGCCTGGCAGAATCGCCCAATGCATTGAATCCGGAAGAGGAAGCTTGTCTTAGGTCACTATCGTTTACACATATGCACGCTCGCGAGAGCAACATTGAGCCAGCGGCGGAAGACACTGGTAATTGGCTACTAGAGAGCGCCGACTTCCAGAGCTGGGCCCAACATGAAAGACTAGACGAGCATCACGGTTTCTTTTGGCTCAAAGGAAACCCAGGATCAGGCAAATCGACATTGATGAAGAAGACTTATTCCCATATGAAGAGAGAAATGACTGATCCCTCATCAATAATCGCGGGGTTCTTCTTCAATGCTCGTGGTAATGAGGACGAAAAGTCCTCGGTTGGGCTCTTTCGTACCCTGCTGCATACCTTATGTCGACAAATGTCTGCGCTTCGTACTCTAGTGGTCAGAAACTACTCCGAGAAAACCAGAGTGTTACGTTCTGGCTGGGAATGGCACCTTGGGGAGTTAAAGGCTCTCCTGAAGTCCGTCGTGACGGCGCCAATCCTTGGAAACCGCAATCTTATTCTCTTCGTTGACGCGCTCGACGAATGCGACCTAGCCGGTGCAAGGGCAGTCATTCAATACTTCGAACATCTTGCGAATTCTGCGGTAAAGGAAGGTACTAAGTTCAATATCTGTTTGTCCAGTCGCTACTGGCCTCAGTTGACGATCCGAATTTGTTTTCACGCTAGAGTAGAAACCCAGAACCAGAACGACATTGCAGAATATATAGGTCAAAACATGGTGTTCGCCAAGGATCGAGGCGGCAGATCGGACTATCTGACGGCATCTGCTAGGCAAATCATGGATAGAGCTTCTGGAATCTTCTTATGGGTTGTGTTGGTGGTTGAAGACCTCTTACATAAAGCCGCCGCTGGTGGGACACTGGCCGACCTTCAGAAGGTGATTCGAAGAATACCCTCGGATCTAGGTGGCTTCTATCGACACCAACTGCAAAACATAGAGCCTGATGACCAGGCGGAATTGCTGTCACTCCTGCAATGCGTCTTCTTTTCGCAGAGACCTCTTTCTCTTACGGAGCTTCGATACGCCTTAGCGTTTGGTAGCGGCACCTTCACATCGTTTGCGGATTGGTCCCAGTCGAGCGAATACGTCGATGGTGATGAACAGATGGAGAAAAGACTCCGCGAACGATCGAGGGGGCTAATTGAGGTCAAGACTTTACCGCCAGACGATTCGTTATACCGACCTAGGAACTGGCATCCTCTACAAAGGTTTTTGAGACCAAAGAGTGTCGTTCAATTCATTCATGAGTCCGTGAAGGATTATCTCCAGGCCCGTGGCTTTGATATCTTGATTCAGGATAGACGACACAATCAGACCGCCCAGGGACACGAGTTTATGAAAGCGATCTGTTTGAACTATCTCAACAGCAGGGAGCTTGTGGTGATGCCAATAATTGATTCCAGACTGAACACGGAATTTGCCGTCCAACGTTCGATGCCAACTCTCTTCGAAGATTATCCGTTCGTTGAATACATGGTCGATTTCCTGTTTATACATTCAGCACACGCAGAGAAAAATGGCCTAGGGCAGGATCATCTACGAGCATGTATATCTGGTAATATTCAAGGATGTTTCGAGCGCTGGAGATACCTTTTCGATTTGGTTTCCATGAAGAGGGACGATCGTTCCATTGTTGGGGGGATGAACTACCGCTGGGTGCCAAGAAGACAAGGGCTCGATGCACAACCAATACATGTTTTGTCTCAATATGGCCTCTTAACACAAGAATTGGCAATGAAAGAAGGTGATACGAATGTACCTGGAGGTCTATATGGCTACGCACTACTTGCAGCTGTTGCTGAGGGACACCAAGCTGCAGTGCAATTTCTCCTGGAAAGTGGAGCAGATCCAAAGTTATACGTCACGGGGCAAGACATGACCGCATTTCAATGGGCAGTACAACGCGGAGACGTGTTTATGCTGAGACAGCTCCTCAAAGACAACCTATCACTCATGAGCATCGTAGTAAGACTCCGTATTTTAGAAAGGGCATATCAAAGCACATCACTTTTCTACGGGTGTCTGGAGTTACTTTTACCAGAGACCAGGATCCCTGAAACAGCGATGGATGCAGTCAGTAGGATAGCTGAACGGGGCGACTCGAAAGTTTTATCCTTCGTTCTAGACAGGTGCGACCGATCAGTACTAAACAAGGAGTGGTTATGGCACGCTTGCAGTGAAAACCCCTTCTCGAGAGGAAGGATGATAAAGATATTGCTTGATCGTGGGGGGAGGGTCAATATCACGCCTGCACTTCTCTCTGCGCTGAGAAAGACATTGGACCTTGACGATGAAGCCATTTCTTTACTTTTTGAGCGTCCCGAGATCGAGGTAGATGAGAGTTTGATTGACTCTATATGCCTGATCAGGAATTCGTCTCAGATATTTCGCCAACTTGAAGTGGCAAGAATCGACTTGCCACCATTCACTCGTCGTCATCTCTTGTGTGCCCTGGAAAATGGCTCAGCTGACTCCGTGGCCTTCATTATTCAACGTATAGATGATGCAGGGAGCTCCGATGGAATGCTGCTAGCAGCAACAAAGCATAACGATGAAGATGGGGAGGTGATGCGACTTCTGTTGAGCTGGCGAAATATTGATCACGTTGAGGACGACGTAATGATCGCTGTCGCGGGTAGCTTCCACTATGAGTCTTCCCTCAAAGTCCTCGAGGACCGTTTCGGACGTTTGGTTTTCCCAATGGAAGCCCTAGCTGCCGCGATACCTCATCGATTGCCGCATGTTGTCAAGTCCGTGCTTGAGAGATGTGAGAGTTTTGCCCTTACTGAAGGTCTTCTCGTGGCAGCGGTTCGGTTCTCTCCAAGGCCGGATGAGAAAGTCGCACTTCTTTTAGAGAATGATCCCGCCTTCGATGTGTCAGGAGAAGTGATCAAGGTAGCAGTCGCCGATTGGCATGCAGTAGACATATTGGATCTTCTCCTCCAGCAGGGCAAGCCTATCCTGCTGACTGAGGAGATTGTGGAAGCCGCAGCCAGCAATTATGACCGAGGACCTGATGCTCTCCACATCATTCTCCAACAGAATCCTGGCGCACGAATCACAGATTCCATGATGCAATCGGCTGTCAAAGCCAGTAGGGGCGCGGCGTTCATTTCGCTCATGCTTGCGCATGATCCAAATATTCGGATGCGAGAAGAGTGGTTGATATCAGCAGCAATGAATGAGGGGGACGGAAGCACTATTTTCGCTCTCCTGCACGAGAGGGGAAAGATAACCAATTTGAATATGGCTGCAGATATTCGTGACACAACTCCAGGCAAGCGGTCTGCTTCTCGGGAACCCCATCCCCAGATTACTACAAAGGTCAAGGATGCGGTAATGTCAAACCAGAGTGACAAACAAAAACTCCGACTTCAGTCCTTGTTCGAGGAGTGGGGCGCTTTTCGTGGACAGGAGACATCTCTTTCTCAATCCAATGAGCCTAAGGCTAGCGGTGACAATACAGACCAAGAGATTCTTCGCATATCGGATCCTGCTGTTTCCAAGTCCAACAGCCAATCTGCTGGCTCAACGAACAAGAAGGGAAATCGCCGTCAGCAAGCTGAGGAAGACTCTACTCAACAAGATCCCTCTGGTATTGAACACGCCGAAGCGGATTCACATCCCCCTCGGCAACGCCGTCAGCGAGCTAATCTACGAGCTACCCCGAGAGCACGTCAGCCAGGTCAGCCAGCGGTCACCGCTCGCGAGGTAGAGGAGCAAGAGGAAGAGCAGCGAGCAGAGACTTACTCCGAGGCAGGCGGAGAGGGCTGGACTGTGCCTATAGAAGGAGGAGTATCTACTCGGCGCGGGCGTGGGAGAGCTATATCACGGGGAGAAGAGCGACAGCGAGTTCGGGGGAGGGGGCAAGCAGGGAGAGGTGTGCCTGCCTCGACAGCGACGAGACAAAGACGTCAGCAGGCTCCTCTGCCAGCACGCTTTCGAGACGATGTGATGGATCTATAAGAATGAAGCACGGGTTTCTGCATGCATGTATGCTCTCGAAGGTCTGACTACGGTGTTTCAGGTTTGGGCAAGCCGTGAGAGAGATCCACGGCAGCAATTCGGGCTTTACGAAGGATCATTACCACGTCGCTATTCTCGAAACTTGGTTGGAAGGCAAGTTGTATTTCAAGAGTAGTCAGGAGAAACGTGTGACTTTTTGTGTTTATTTACGGGAATAGAACGCAGTGGGAAAAGAAACGAGAAGACTATCGAAGACTACTCAGGGGATTCGTCAAGGTTGGCAGTGGCCTCCTGTGGGGAATGAGGTGATTGCCCTCCTTGGTTCTATCTAGGAATGTTCTTTGAGAAACTTTGTGTTTATAAATTGGAGCATGGCCAACTTCGTGCTTTCATCCTTATGGGCTTCAATGTTCTTCATAGCCTAGCCCTATCGGTTATACGTTCTTCCGCTGCCGAGTACCGCAACACCTGCCGAGCTGTAACCCGTGCAGGGGGTCTTGGCGCTCTGACATGGTACTCGCGCTCTTCTCACGCGTTCTTATTGCCTACCTACGACCTACTCTTCCAACTACCCACAACGGGTTTCGCAACGCCGATTGCTTGGAGCGTCTGTTCCATATCATTCGGCCAAGACCGATCGTCTATCAGGCTGAATCATGACCAAGCGAAAGAGCCCGGAAGAGAAGGCCTTCCAAAAACCTACGAGTAGGAAGCGGGTTGCCTTCTCTGCTCCCAAGGACGCAGCTACCAAGGCGCTGTATGAAATCCAGCCACATCACAAGCACTGAGCCCACTAACAAGCTATTGTAGTATCAAAGGAAATGCACTGACCTCCCCGCTGCTGCGATTGCCCCTCGAGATCCGCAACAAGATATGGAGTGACGTGCTCGGGGACCGTCTTATCCATCTCCGATACCTCTACGATCACACAGTGGACTTCGCGACCAGCGATTCATTCTATGCGAATTCAAGGTGGTCTAGCACGCTTGGAACGACATATGGAAGCGTCTGGAGACACTTGGTCTGCGAGGAAGACTGCCCAGAGAATCAGGAAGATAGAAATTGGACAACTTCCTATGGATTCCTTTCGATACGGCCACATTTCGCTTGCGAGGTAGACCTCGACTATGAGCCTATTGAACCAAACACGATCTATAAGGAATGGTACTGTTGCGGTCATGAGATGATGCGGCTTAGTGTTCTTCGATCATGTCGACAGATTTACGTTGAAGCCAACAAAATACTGTGGACGACGAATACTTTCTCATTTGCCGATCCCACGACGTTCAAACGCTTCATAGTGACCCGGAATATCAACCAGAAGCGCTCAATCAAGAGTCTTCGCTTACAGATGGAGTGGGACACTTCTGATGGTAAAGAGTGGAACCGAGCTCTCAACATGGCACTTGTCAAATCCGTCACTGGATTAAGACGGCTGCGTTTGCGTATCGACCACAAGCTAGACGCTACGCGGTACGAACTCATCAAAAGCAACAACCTTCTTTACACTACCGCTTGTTGTGAAGGTCTACAGAAGGTCTCGACCTTGCCATTGACTGAAGTCGAGGTCGTTGTGAAGAACCCACAATTCATATCGGAAGACGAGCTATGGACGAAGGTGGACAGAGAGGATTTTGCCGAGGGTTTTCGAAAAATACTTGTCAATCCAAAGGGTGCCGAGATCTATGCGGATGACCAGCTGAAGTGGAAAGAGGAATGCCGGAAGCAACGAGAATATGCCGCGATGATCAAAGCCTCCATGTCGAGACCAAGGCTTCAAGCCGAAGCTGAGCGCATGGCCGATCCACCTCTTGCAGGCCCGTCAGACTAATGTTGCCATTACAAACTGCGAGTAAGTGAGAGTGTATTTAATGTGGATTAAGTGCCATTTCTGCTGTTACTAGGTCGTGCTGTACTGATAATGTTTTGATATAGGTAACGCAAAATCGACGTTGGCGTTGACCGAAGAGGCGGACTTTGCAAACCAGCGATGCGGAAATGTTAGCAGCCAACTCGGGATGTTGGTTGTCCGGAACCTTCTCCCGGTCAGTCACTCATCCATCACATTTCTCTGCCTGTTGGTCTCGTTTCCCTCGTCTAATAAGACACTCAAGCTGGTCTCCCAATTTCATGTCCTTCGAGTCTGGCAAAACATTGACATGGAAGTATCATAGTCAACTTTTCCCAATCTCATTTCATAACACTGTCACATTGTCTCCTCCAACCCCATATCTACCCCCACCATACTCCAAAACAATTGCCAGCCTCTCCTGCTTCCCCAGCGCCGTCCAACCCCCGGCATACTGCGTTTCCCGCATCGACGTCTTGATGCAGCTACTCAGCGTCTACGTCAGCATCCCGTCTCCCAAAAGTACCAAACGAATAAGGCAGCTTATTCAGAAAAACTCCGTAAATTCCAAAAAAAAAATGCATTTGAAGTACTCACTCCTCACCCAACCTCAGCGCCCGGGCAACAATCACATGCCAACTCCCCCCCTGCCTCGCACTCCCCTCATGCCTCAACTCCACCCTCACCCTACAACTCTCAAACCTCTCCTCCACGGGCAGCTTGAACACGTCGTCGGGCGCGCCGTTGTGGAAGGCGCCCTCGCCTTGCAGATCCGGCAGGGCGAAGATGGCGCGCAGGCAGTCGTAGTAGTCGGGGCAGGAGGTGAAGGGCGTGCGTTTGGGGACGCAGGTGTTTTGGTGGGCGAGTGGTGGTGTGAGTGGATGGGTGAGGGTTAGGGTGTGGATGTGTCGGGAGAGGAGGAGGATGGAGAGGATGGTGAGGATGGAGATGTTGAGAGGTGGATGCATGCTGTGTGTGTCTCCTCTCACTTCCTCACTCTCTCACTGTTGAGATGGAAAATAGACCGTTTGGAGCCAGTCGTAATGCTGATGGATGGATGCAGAGATGCTGGCGCGGGACTCGACACGCATACATACATACGTACATACAAACATCCGATCGATAATGCGAAACCATATGCAGAATATCGATTCTCGTGAAAGCCTTCCTTTCTCCCTTCCCTCGTAGTATGTACATGTGTACGTATCTATCTTCAGAATCAAAAAAACAAAAATTAATACTCCGCAGACTTCGGCGCTCGCATGCGCCACCTCTCTCTCTGGGATTGGATTGGATCGGGTTGGATTGGATTGGATTGGACTGGGATTCCCGACAGCCGTCACGGTTCGAGAGTACTCCAAGCGGTCGCCTTTCGGATCGCGCGCATGGCGGAAGCGAAGCGCACCGGTGGGGTTTGGATGGGTTATGGATGGGTTAGGGATGGGTTATGGATGGGATATGGGAATGGGATATGTGTTCGGATGGGTTATGGATATGTGTTCGGGGAAAGTACTGTTCGGGTGAAGTACTGTTCGGGTGATGTACTGTTTGGGTTTATTCGTTGGCTGGGGGGGAGGGGTTTTGGTGGTTGGTTGTTTCTCGCTGCTGTTGTTGTGTTGGGTTGGGGTGGGGATGGGTTTGGGTTTGGGGTTGCGTTTGGGTTTGGGTTTGGGTTTGGGTTGGGGATGGGTTTGGGTTTGGGTTTGGATTTGGATTTGGTTTTGTTTCTCGCTGCTATTATTGTCATGTCATGTCGTGCTGGGATGGGATGATTGGGTTGTGTTTGCTTTTGTTTCCCGTTGCTATTGTCATGTCATGTCGTGTTGGGATGGGATGGGTTGGGCTGGGTTATTTTGTGATCGTCGACAGCGCGCGGAATGGAATGGTTGTGTTCATGTTGGTATTTGGCTATGTATAGATGGATGGATACGAGTTTCGATTCCTCCTATCTATATATCTGTCTGTGTGAATGTGAGTAGGGTGTATTGGGATAGATACGCAGTACGTTGTTGTTGGCCATCTGGCTGGCAAATTGAGGAGGGAGCGTTGGAAAGGAGGTATACGCTGGGGCTTTTTTTTCGGTAGACGAAGGGACGGGGGAGGGATAAGATGCGTATAATACGTGATGGTGTCGGTGGTGTGTGGGGGTTATTGGATGCTGGGTTCATGGGGTATTGGGTCTTGCTTGCAGGATGTTTTGGCGGCTGTGAGATATCTTGTGCGCTTTCTTTCTTCAGTTAAAGACGAGACGAGACGAGACGAGACGGAGTAGGTAGGGGAGAGTAGAGTACTCTTTGTACTACTTACTGTGGAAAACGGTAAAGAGGGGGATGCACGGCGCTGTTGGAGGTGGAGCAATGCTTATTCTTTTTCTTTCCGTGATTGTTTTCTCGGCGTGAGAGGGTTAAGGATAAGGACGAGGGTATTTACAGGAATGAATGGTTATCAAACATTATGCACGATTCATGAAAAAAAGGGCGCCAATTTCCTCCTCACGGGATCCCTGGCTCTGTTCTCCTCCTCTTCATCTCCTCCCTCATCTCATCCTTCATTCGAGCAATGCAGCCCACACCGCCATACACCAACGCTGTATATACCTGTGCGACACTAGCGCCAGCTTCCAATACTTCGAGCGCTTGCTTGCCGTTTTGGATGCCGCCGGTTGCGAAGATGACCTTTCGTTTAGGAGGCTCTTTTGAGGGTTCGGATTGGGTGATGGGAGGTAATTGATTGATGTGCGTGTCGGCTGAGAAGGCGGAAGTGGAGGGACTGGTGGACGGTTGGTCGGAGGAGAAGGGGTTGTTGCGAGGTGGGATTTGGATTAGAGGTTGGGATTTCGATTCGGCGTGGGCTTCTGGTGTGTCGGGTTTGAGGTTCTTGGCGTCACGCACGACCGTCTCTTTGATGCGAGAGGAGACGTCTTTGTTCGGATCTTGTTGTGGTGCGTCGTCAATCGCTTTCGTTGATGCAGGCTCCTTCGGCGTCTGGTCCATCCCCTCATCTAATAGCCTCCTATATCTCTTCGTGAGCGCTACCGTCCTCTCAAACAATTGCGGTCCCGAATACCCTCCCTGCTCCAACAATGTCGCCGCTTCCCTAGCTGGCAGATTGTAATCCGCCGGCAAGAGATCATGTCTTCGCTTCGTGGTATTGCCCACAATAACTCCATCTACTCCACTCTCCCACACTGCATCACAGATCCCGCGCACCTGCTCGTCACTGTCTTCATCCGGGGACACCTTCACCATGACCGCTGGCTTGACTCTTTTCTTAGCCTTCTTCGCAGCTTCCACGACGCCGGTCAGGATATTCGTGAGAGGCTCCACCCTCTGCAAGCCCCTCAAACCCGGCGTATTCGGACTGCTGACATTCACAACAATGATGTCCGCATACCGCGCCAATGCCTCGACACAGTAGACGTAATCCGCTTTCACAGCCTCGATATCCTCATCGGGCGTAAACTTGTTCTTGGCAACCTGTACCGCCATTAAACACCCGCTCGTCAAACTTCCACCCGGAACCCCGGCCTTGCCATCCAAGACACTTTGCTCCGCTTCTTCGTCGATCCCAAAACCATTGGCGTAGGCGTACTCGCGGACTCGCTGCCGTAGGCGCATAGCTACGTTATCTGCACCTTCCGAGTTGAGGCCGTAGCGATTTATGAGCCCTTTTTGGGAAGGCAGGCGGAAGACGCGGGGTTTGGGGTTGCCGTCTTGAGGGTAGGGTGTCGCTCCTCCAATCTCGATTATCGAAGGGCCGAGGGCGAAAAGAGGGTCGGGGATCTCGGCGTGTTTATCAATGCCCGCACTCGTGCCAATTGGATTCGACAGCGTGTGTCCAAACACCTCAACCTCCAGATTCCGAGGCACATCCCCCCGCTCCCTCGGATGCAACCCCCACTTGTACAACCCCTTTAGACTCGCCGTACCGACTTCATGTGCCTCCTCCGCATCGTCGTAGATCCAGCGCAGAGAGGGTACGACGGCCCATTGGTGTATGCCTGCTCGGACGTCTGTTACGTAGAGGTAGCCGAAGACGAGGGCGAGGGAGATGGTGGTGCCGAGGAAGAGATTTTTTAAGCGGGTAACGAGGGATGAAGCGTCTGCTGCGATGGGCGGACTGGTGGAGGCATGGCGGACGTGGGCGGCGTGTGGCAATGGCGTACTGACGATGGGGCATGATGGGTGGTGGAGGTGGGGAAGGCGGGCGAGGTATGGGGACGGAGGAAGTCGGGAAAGGACATGTGGGTGGCAGCGAAGAAAGGTCAGGGGCGGAGGTGTAATCATTATCGTTATGAGGCTAACAAATTCAGTAGTGGAGTGGAGAATGGGGACAACGTTGAAGGTGAACAAAACCTCACGTTGCGGTTAATGTCGGCAGTCCCGCGCTAGACCTGTTCCTGGCGATGAATGTTCCAATATTATTTACTATTCACTCCACCTTCGCCATTGAGTCTAAATAGTCCATTGTGCTTGATGACAATCGCATCCATGTCTTCGGTATTTATTGGATGTATCGAAATTACTGTATTAGCTTGCTCGCATGTCTGCTGTAACCGTCTATATCCTCTCTAATTCACCACCCGCTAACGGCTTGCATTTGGCCTCCATTGACAGCGCCGCCGCAGATATGCACCTCCCAGAGTCGTCGCCTCATTGCCCCCGTTTCCGTCTAAGTGTATATGCTCCTCTTGCCTCTATATTGTTTTTCTCGTATATCATAAGTGTCGTTGCAAGAAGCTCGAGCACGAAATCCACCGTTGGAGAAAACCGAATGTAATAATGCCATGTAGTCAAAGGTCTACGGCCAATGAGCCTCGTTATAGCTCCGAAACAGAATTTGATGTCTATGCTTTTGATTGAAGGTACGGGTAATCTCCGATCTGTATGTTATGGAGGTCGGCCTCGGATTTGATGGGGTGAAGAGGAGTATTGGTGCCAGAGTGGTATTGCGTGTTGCCGTAATCATCGTTCGAGTTGTAATTGGAGAAAGAAGGCCAGTCGATGTCGTGTCCACTTCTCTGCCCGGCTATATGGGGCAGAGAACCATTGTTATAGTTCGAAGACGTGGGAGCCCTGCTCACTCCAGCGAACACCATGTCGCTGCCGTTAGCTGTACTGTAGGCTCCGCTCGGAGATATTTGGTTGGATCTTGACTCGTGCAGATAGGTGTAGGGCGTTGCCGCTCCACTTGTAGTCGCCGAGTCAGGTGTAACGTGACCGCTCACATATCCGTAGCTCGTTGGATCATATCCGGAGGTATTCACCAGTCCTAGACTTGCCCGGTTTGAATGACTGCCAGTGCTTCGCTTCGATTTCTTAATACTATTGGACCGCGAAACCTGGTCAGAGCTTTCCACATACTGCGACTGGCCTAGGTTTAGGGTATTGATATCGAAGGATCCATCCAGACTCGTCGGGGTGAAGACTTCCATCTGTTGTGCTTGACTGACGCCAGTTGGTGTGCTGCTTTCCATCCGCGCTGCGTCCTCCTGCCTGGATTTCTTGTTTGCTCGAGAATGAGACAGATGACTCTCTCCGCTTGGGTTGCCTCTTCTAACGGAACATTTCTGGAAGTGTCTTTTCAAGATATCACTACGGGAAAAAGTATCTTTACAAAGACCACAAGTATATGGTCGCACGCCAGTGTCTAGATCCCCGTTAGGGTGAGCGCAGGTGAACCGGACGTAGGGTACTTACGCCGGAGAAGATGACGTTTCAGATGCTTTGCATGTAGGTAATTCTTGTTACAGTGTGGACAAGGATATTTTCCTTCGGCGTCTTTCGGTGGTGTGGGCGCTGCCTTTTGACCGCTTGTGTTCGCGCCAGCAACAGCCGCCGGGCGCCCTGCTGCACTTGGAAGTATCCCTCTTCGACCCTGTGAGCCCACAACGTGCGTAGGCTGAGGCTCTTCCACTGCGTCTAGTTGGTTTATGTGGTCTGCAAGAGATAACGATGGTTTTCCATTTTCCCTTGGTTGTATACGCCGCAGGTCTGGCAAACGACCTTGCGTCGGGGCAGAGCTATATACCGGTTGGTGTAACCCTGTGACTGGAGATGGTCTTGACTGCTGGTGCAAATGCTGATTCTGCGAGGCCTGCGAAAAACTTGCGCTCTGTCCATTGTAGAAGGTATTTGCTGTCGGCGCGTAGACTGGGTATGATCCTGGCTGACTATCTTGTCCATGGGGAGCGGTCATCAACGAGGGCTGTAGGGGTTGAGTTCGGGTAGGGTAGGTATCGTTGCCATAGGCGGATGCAGCATGGTTCCCGGAAGTCAAAGGTGGTAAGGTGTGAGCAGCTGGTAGGTTTTGTTGAGGAGCGCCGTGGGATTGAGGTCTTGATGACGGAGTTGACTGCTGTTGATTGGGTGGATAGATTGGAGCGTAGATTGGTGCATTGGAGAACTGTTGGTTCATGGTAGGAAAGCGAATGTGGGTTGAACCTGAGTCTATCAGAAATAGCTGTCTCCCTCATTGGCAAGCGTGGCAGAAGGCAAGGTTGAGAGTGGAGGGGCCGTTTGGGAGTCCAATGGGCTCCGGGCACCTCAATCGACAGCAGACCAAGTGCGGATGCTGCTGATTGAGACAAAGATGGCTGATAGTGGTAACGCGTGCCCCCCAAAGATAAGATGCTGGAAGAAGCTGGGTAGAATTTTTTTTTTTTTAGTAGGGTGACAGGCACAGAAAGCCGATGGACAGTGGCAATTCTGCGGACACCCCTGCCGATCAATCGAACCGCCGCGCGACCTAGAGAGAACTTCGACCGTCGTCCCTTTTCTTTTTTTCCAAACGTCAGGACTTGATTCAAATAAAAAGAGTAGACTGTATTCCTAAAGACCTTGCTGCAGTGTGCCGTAGGATGCGGGCGCCTTGGGTAAGGATCTTATCGACGGGTCCCACTAAATAACCGCGAGGTGGATCTCGGGGGGAATGGCCTTGGGACGAGTAAAAATGGTTGAAACGAAAGGAAAGATGGGTGGGGTGGGGTCAAAAGCGAGCCGTTGTGCTTGCAAACCCACGCTTACGGAGGTCGCTTTATATCCTCCGTAGACGGCTTGTCGCACCAAAAGATATAATCATATAGACCTCAAGTCAATCTCATGTACTTGGTGACTTGAAGATTTGGAGATGAAGGAAAGATGAAGGAGAAAGATTGAGAGACATTCGGTGGCCATAGCGGGTGAAGACGGTTGACCGCTTACATGATCCGATTGAGGGAGAGAATTTTCACCCATGATCAAAGATACGCATCAAGTACCTCGATCTACCATCACTTTGAGATAATTTCCTTAGCGTCACCCGCGCCGTTCCTCGGAGCGCTGCCCGCTAAGAGTTAGTGAGTAGGTAAGGTAGAGCCATCAGCCAGCAATTGCATCTTGCTCTCTACACTTGCATCATGGCATTCCTACACTTCAATTTCCACCTGTTCACCTATCACATCTCTTTGCAACCCTTCTCCCATAGGCTGCCAAAGAAATTCAATTCTTTTGTCCATCACGAACAACCGTGTGTCTAGCATCATCCTCACTCTCTTCCGGTCGAGCCGAACATGTCCGCCAAAGCTGACCTCTTTCGACCATGTCTTCGCGGTTCATCAATAGATTCTCAATTCATCAATAGAGCATAGCGTGGCCTATAGCATGGCCAGACAAGGTACTGGGCCTCCTGCCACCTCTTCCATGTTCACGTGGCAACATCAAGCAGCCGCAGCTGCGAAGACTTAACGCCAGGCCATGGAATATCCCACGCCTGGTACACACCATCCACCCTCTCGAAGCATCTCGTATAACCGTCTGCGGTACTAGCGCCAGCTTTCGATGCACGTTGCTTACGGACCACCATCTCATCGTCTGAAGCGTATGTACTTTCATCTGAAGTCTTCTCTGTCTATCAACGGGATATCCTCGGCTTACGATCATCCAGCTATTGAGTTGTTGCCTTTCGCCTCCCTCTTGCCCGCTTCCTCTCCCCTCACATGCCCACCTTGAGCCCTCCGGGAAGCACCACTTTTAAAAATCCCGATGCACCAACGTCACAACAAATGCTTTGCATCCCACAACAAAGGTCCCAGCATAAACCCAAACCGTAGCCGCAACCAACACCGCCGCAGTGTTCAACCTAGCCTTGTCGTCAAACCCAAAAGAAGACCAGACAGGCAACATAGGCCACAGAGTAAACACCGACTGTCGTAGCGATGCCGCCGCCTCCTCTTGACTTCCCTCTCACCCATGCGAACGGGTTTCGACCACCTATGCCATCCGCTGCGGCGGTGGGCGAGGTTGCAGTTGGCGCTGGAGCAGTTGAAGCCGGCGCGATCTCTTGTGTCGCCGAGGTAGTCATGGTAGCGGTGGGAGAAGAGGATGTAGAAGAGATCATTGCGGGCGTAGGGACGGCCGATGCCATCGTCCCCAGCAGCGGCGTAGCGGTCGAAACACAACTGGCACTAGCTGTGCCACGGGGATTTGCGCATTTGCTGGTGCTACTAGTACTGTTGCCTCCATCTTCCGGGCTATCACCAGTATCTGTATCACCGCCGCCGTCCCCGCCCTCACCACTTTCGCTCCCCTCCTTGGGTTTCTCGGGTCCATCGTGGTCGTCGTCGTCGTCATCGTCGTCGTCGTCGTCGTCGTCTTTGTGCTCTGGCTCTTGCTTCTGGGCGGGTGCTTGAGGCGCTTCAGGCGCGGTGGGTTCAGTCGGTGACTCGGGCGCCGTGGCGGGCTTTGGTGCTTTGACCACTGGTGGTAGTGGTGGTGGTACACCTTCTTGGGGTTCCCGGGGTATCAAGGCTGCGATATGGTTGCTGGATCTTGAGGAGACATCATGACTTCTTTTGCTTCCCAGTCGATGTCCATCAATAGAACGAGCATCTATCGCTGCTGCATTTCGACCAGATGAGCGAGAGTCCGCGCCGACTAGGTCACTCGTGAGTCCAGTGATGCCTATCGAGGAGGCTAACAACAAGAACACCGTCGTGAAGGAAAAGGAAAGATACATTGGGGTCATACAGGCTTCGTTGAAAATTTGATGAAAATTTGAAATCGTAGACGGACCAGACGCTCTATATATTTACAGGGGGCCGCAGCCCAGCCGAACCTTATTAGCACCTGAAAAGGCCGGAAATCACGGTTACATAGCAGCAGGCTGAACGCTATTAATGAATAAGCCTGTAAGTAAGTAGAGTAGAGCGGCGTAGAGAGTAAAACCGCAGATCTGGGTCCAAACTCTAATCATGGATCGTGCGACGGACGCCAAGACTTTGCGGACTCAGTGCCCCGGTTCGGTAAGGTTGATTAGGTGGTCTTGGCAGGGGATGATGGCATCTAGGTAGGGCTACCTGGGTTAAGGTAGGTAACCGTACCTTAAGGTAGGTGACTGTGTAAGTAAGGTATGCAAGTTGCACCCATGGAGCGGAGTGCCACACTACCACTACCACTACCACTACCACTGGCAGGGGATGAGTGGCAGGGCATGAGTGAGGTAGAATCTCGGTAACCGTACTGGTTGTGTGAGTATGTATGCAAGTTGCACCACTGCATCGATGGATGGAGGGTGGGGTTGCGGCATGCTTGCGGTGCGGAATTGGCGTGAGGGTGTTGAGGTGGGTGATGAGGGGGCGGAGTTTGGGCGTGGAGGAGATGGAGATGAGGTGGGTTGGAGATGGAGATGAGCCGGGTTGGTAGGTGGTGGAGTGGAGGTTTGGAGGGAGTGGAGTGGAGGTTTGGAGGGAGAGAGGTGGGGTTTCCGGTCGACCATTTCGATATGGGTAGGGTAGGGTAGGGTGGTTGATCTTGTGCTCGTGGGTAGGTGGGAGATTGGGGACTGGGCTGGTGTTGAATTGGTTGGATTGGATTGGGTACTTTAATATGCATGAGATGATGAGGGCATTGGCGTGATCTCTGGCTGTACTGTCGTGGAGGCTTGGTCGTTGAGGGGGGCGGTGTGTAGTGGCGATGCGATGCGATGGATGGATGGATGGATGGGAGTAGATGAGTGACTGATTTCGGATTTCATCTTGATTCCGATTCTGTTTGCGTTTTCTTTCCCTACGCTGCGGTGGTCATTGGCGTCGCGGTGCTGCGTTACCTACGGGGAGTCTCTCACTCTACTCTGCGGGAATCTTCTTTTCGTCTCTGAGTCGGAGTCATAGCTCCGCCAGGGGTCGAAAGTGGTCACCTATTCATTGCAAGCAAGCTTTCCAATGAAGTTGTACATGTTGGGTGCTGCTCATTTTCGCGTCTACAAAATGAGCAGGTGGGTTTGGTAAATGAGTGATCCTGCCATTATCCAAGACGCGAGGAGGTGACGTACGGTTTGGTTCCGCCCTTATATACTACTCTTCATTTACATTGGCGGTCTACAGGAGGTAGTTACCAGATATACAATATACATCTTCGATCGATCATTTTCTCATGCCAGGTTGCCCGAATACCTTTACGATCGTGCCTCCAAGTCAGTCCTTAATTTTCCTATGCCTTGATACCTTAACTCCTTGTGTAGTCATGCCTCCAAGCCATTCCGTACCGTGCTTGTTGGTTGTTCGTGCATCGTCTTATCTTCGTAGTCTACAATGGGTTGCATCGGGTAGTTCGTGCTTGTGTCTGCCGTCTCCGGCCGCGTGTACATCTTCGCGTAAGATGACGAGGAGTTGTTGGCTTCGATGTCGATATATGGGTTGGTCACCTCCGCGCGGCTCGGTTCTGATTTCCGGGTGGAGCGCACGGAACCCAGAGAGAACGCACTGCGCACGCTGTTTACGGCCGATTGCACAGAGATGCCGTTGAAGAGATAGCTGAGAGTAGGAAGGCAGGCTGCAATGAGGGCGAGACCGGACTCTATCGTGCTCCAGTACATGATTAAGGTTATGCTTTCTGTTACGCGAGGTTAGCTGAGGGCTTATCGAGCAGTGTTTCGGATACGCTGACCGTCAAAGTCTACAGGAATCTCTTCAATCGCCGCCTTCTGCGTCTGGAGGTAGAGGACAAGTCGTGCGATGGATGCGGCAAGCGATCTATATCAAATCAGCGTCGTGTAACCTCAACTTCCGTGGTCGTAACTGACGCAGCACCCAGCATCATGATTCCTGTAACGGCAATCTTCTTCACGGGTGTCATGCGGAGGCTCCATATCTAATGGCTTGTCAAATTATGGATTCGGACAGGACGGGGCCAAACCTACCATCGGAATTGGAAGAGCGAGGATGACCACGTCGAGGATAAAGTCTGAGGCCGCAAGTCCTTCCAAGCTGGTATAGCCTATGACTAAACAATGCGCCTCTTGACTTGCGGCGGAACCCCAATTGTCTGAGATGTGGTATCCGCAGGGAAAGATGATGATAAGTATGAAGGTGATTACCCACAAGAAGATCACTACGCCGGTGACTCTTGTTATTACGTCAAAAGTGGTGCGCTTGTTCACGACAAAGATTCGACGATAGAATGCGATAATGCTGAGCTTCACGAAGCCATAGCAAACCATCGTCAGGAGTTGGATGGCGAATTCAAGCTGCAAGTATCTCAGCCACTCGTCCATATGATGATCTCTCTTCTGCGCACCTTCCCCACTAGTGATGAGATCGGAAGAACGTAATTGAGTATCTCATCTGGCGTCGTGAGATCTGCTGGAAACGGAGGAGTCGGATAGCCAAAGGCGTGCGTAGCCGCTCCTGAATCCTGAAATTATTGCGCGCTCTCGATCCATTGAACAGGACCGCCTACCTATAATGAAACATATCCCTATCCCAACAAAGGTAATCTAAAGATGATGGTGTTGTCAGACGAAAGTGACGGCACGAAACAAAGTCTTGAACGTACAAGACCACCTAGAATGAGCCAATCGTCGATTCCGATTCGAGCCTTTTGCAAGTTTCGAGTTGTGAAGCGTAGAGCGACAACAATGCCGCACGCCGCTGGCAGCGCGGTGCCTATCGCCCAAACTTCGCCTGGGGTGGCATTAGAGAATGTGTAGACCTGATCTTTCCCGTTCTGAGCGGCCATCCTGGGATTTGAGAAAGCTGCAAGCCGATAAATGAATTCTGAGGGACAAACAATGCCCAACAGAAGCCCGGACTTGATGTTGCGCGGATCGAATCAAGGGAAGACAGCAATTGGCGACTACAAAATAAAAAACAGCGACATGATAGAGCAAAAAGGAAGCGTTCCCCAGTCCTTTTGATGCGGGAGATGAGGTCCCACGGGGTCGCGAGGGTCTGCCCTGTGCCGCAAACACATGGTTACATCAACCAGGGGTCGATAGAATACTCGTACCCGTAGGTTGTCGGATGAGATAGCTAGGAAGCGGCTTGCGTCACGTCCCAGCCTCAGGAACCAGGGAATCAACAGTCGGATCATTTAGTCATCGCAAGACGGGGAACGGGTGGTGGTGTGGGGGATTCGAAGGGACCCAGTCCCTAGACGGAGCTATACACGAAGGTACATATCAAGGTGACACTAAGGCTCTATACACGCAGGCCACTCATTGAGTGAACCGGACTATGAGTACCCGCATCTGCGTCATAGGCGTGATAAGGAATCAAGAAGAACAAATCAAGTCAGTCGAATGGGACTGCTGTTCATTTGCAAGGGCACGCCATCATCCAGTAGCTTTCATTTCTAGCACACCGGCGCGCTGCACCAACGGCTGAGTTGTAAGGTCGTCGGACCGCGCCAATGCCTTAAACCGGTGCCGAACTTCATCCTTTTAGTGTCCGCGACGGCGCGGCGTTAACAGAATCCGAAGCTAAGGTACTTTATCGTTGTGGCTGTACAATCTGTGGCCCGGAACAACCATCCTACCCTGCATGTTCCATCCATTGGTATTAAGGGTTGACTGCTTTGACCTTCCAGCTGCCCCATACTTTATCATACAAAATATTAGATCTATCATCAATTCTCATCACCAAAGGCGTCATCGGCTGGCTCGCATTGTTAGTGTAAGCTAGCTAGCTACCTAATCTTGATGGTGGGGGAAGCTAGTTGCTAGATACCAACTAAATGTGCAACGCCTATCTTAGGTCGTCCTTGAACAGCGGCCAAGGGATAAGGTGATAAGGTAGCTACATGTAGGAAAGCTAGGATAATAACTCGGATAATAAAGTAGCTTGTACGGAGTGACTCCCAAGAGGGAAGGTGCTCAGTCCTTCCACCAGCCCCCTGCTTGACAGATCATCCGGTACTGAGGACAGTGAACGACATTCGCTTACGCACTCTGCACTACCAGCTCCCCTGAAGCTTTCGACTGCCTATTTGACAATGTTTCCTGCGTCATGAAATCCTTCGAGCATGATGGAGCCCGGTCATTCTTATGCCGTGTGCCTCCTAATGCTGCCACCCGAAAACATTACAAGTGTCCATCGAAGCACTGACCCTTCCAGACGCTCAATGAAAAAGAAAAATGCAGGACTGTGCGATGTGTGCGGCTCCTAGCAGAACAGAAGTGTACCTTTCTGCCTCGATGGAAGCAAGTACGTGGCTATATTACCGCACGAATGGCCTTTGACTGGCCAATGCGTCTTGTTTCGCGCATCATCATCCAGTCACACGGATCCACTCTTTGCTTAATCCGCCTATTCGATCGCTCGTCTGCTCTCAAATGCCATCGTTCAAGTTGCATTTGCTGTATACATCGCAGACACTTTTCCTACATTTTCATTTCTCCTTTACCCTTAAGCTTGTCTGCAACATCTTCTAGATCATGACACTCATTGATTTACCCAGTCTTTGCACCTTTTGTAATCTTCTGTTTGCAACACACACAACACAGATGGTTCCGACATGAAAAAGCTGATTAACATGCAATTGCATCCGTGTTGAGGTGCTGGCAAATTCGACGGGTCCATCAAGATGGAAAGCTACGCAACTGAAGCACCTGAGATCGCGTCGGATCCTGCAAAGTTTGAAAAGGATTCTGGATTTAGATCCTTGGAAGCGGAAAGCGCGACTCAAGACCGAGTCGATAGACATGTCGTCGACTTTGACGGCCCCGATGATCCAGAGAACCCTCTCAATTGGTCAAATACGCGCAAATGGTGCCTTGTGGGCCTGATATCCGCAATGACCCTGGTCACGTAGGCGCCATCATTGCCATCCGTCATATTGTCCCCAACTCACCAAAGTCAGGAACCTTGCAACTCTCATGTGCGCACCCGCGGCCCCACTAATATTGCGGGAATTCTCTTCCAACAATCAACTCTATCAGACACTCCTCGTGTCCATCTGGGAGCTCGGCGAAGCATTCGGACCCCTGTTCATCGCGCCCTTATCTGAAATCTATGGCAGAGCACCGGTATACAATGCCGTCAACATCCTTTTCTGCATCTTCTCAATCGCTGGGGCCGTCAGTACTAACATGCACATGTTTATTGCATTTCGATTTCTGAACGGCATCACCGTGGGGGCCATCGTTCTCAACCCCTGCATTGTTGGAGACCTTTTCGTGACCGAGAGACGAGGCAATGCCATGGCTATTGAGGGTATAGCTCCACTGATCGGGCCAGTCCTGGGCCCTGTAATCGGAGGCTACGTATCCCAAGCGATCGGTTGGCGCTGGTTGTTCTGGTTGGCAGCTATATTCGCCGGCGTCACCGAGATCGGGTTCCTCGCCTTCTTCCGTGAGACCTACAAGGTGCGGATTTTGGAGAGGAAAGCTGCTCGACTGAGGAAAGTAACAGGTGACGATTCTTACAGATCCGTCCACCACGTTACGCACACAATTATGGGCTTTTTGACCGTCTCCGTCATGCGGCCGGCGCGGATGCTTTTTCTATCCCCAGTCATCTTCCTCTTAGGGCTCTACGTCGCCCTTGTCTATGCCTACACGTACGTGCTGTTGACCACAATGACCGAAGTCTTCGAGCAGAGATACGGCTTCTCGACCGGCTCGGCCAGTCTCACCTTCCTAGGATTAGGTACATCCATCCATCCATCCATCCTCTTCCCCTCCAACTCCCCCAACCCCCCGGCTGACGGACCCCACAGGCATCGGCCTCACCGCAGGCCTGCTCCTCTGCCAAGCGACCCTCGACCGCTACGTCTCCCGCGCGCAAACCCGCGGCGCCATGACGCCCGAACAGCGCCTACCCCCCATGATCGCCGGCGGCCTCGTCATCCCCGCCGCCCTGCTCTGGTACGGCTGGACGGTGCAGGCCCGCGCCCCCTGGACCGCCCCCGTCGTCGCGACGGCCACGCTCGGCTTCGGCGTCGCCGCCACCGTCCTCCCGGCCTTCAGCTACCTCGTCGACGCCTTCGGCCTCCACTCCGCCTCCGCCGTCGCCGCCACCATCTGCCTCCGCTGCGTCGCCGGCGCCGCTTTCCCCTTGGTCGCCCCAAGCCTGTACGACCGGCTCGGCGTCGGCTGGGGCACGTCGGTGCTGGCGGTAGTCGCGCTCGTTTTCCTCCCCGTGCCGCTTTTGCTGATGAGGTTCGGGGAGCGCGTAAGGTTGCGGTCGAGGCTTTTGGTCACGTATTGAGGGAGATTCGGTGAGGGGTTGGGTGGGTGCGTGGGGTTGCGGCTTTTGTATGATGATTGTCATCGTTCACCGCTGTGGTTTCTGTGCTGTTTTGCTCAGCTGTTGTGGTTTGTGGAAGTTATGTATGTGTATGGGTTGGGATTATCCATTGTAGAGTCCGGGGAGAGTGTATCCACCCGATCCTGTGCGGGACGAGCGAAATGCGGTCGATGCATTCGTTTCCATTTCCATTTATTCTTTCCTTCAACATGCATCCATTCATTCCTTCCTTCAACATGCACAGATTCATTCTTTCATTCACTATGTAAGATATATCCTCCAAATATAAAAATGGTCACCACATATCCCCATCCCATCCTTTCCGTCCCTTTCCGTTCCTTTCCTTTCCTTTCCTTTCCTTTCCTTTCCTTTCCATCCCATTCCTTTCCTTTCATTAAGAGCGTGTAAAGCTGAATCAAATCCTCAGCCCAATCACAACAACTTCCTCCATCCTCCTCGCACCTTCCATCCTTCACCCAAAAACACCAACCCAAACCCCTCAAACCTCTCCCTCCAACCCCCTCTCTCCCTCCAAACATCTCTCTCCCTCCCTCCCTCCATCCCTCCCTCCCTCCACCCCCCTCCCCCTCCCCCCCCCCTTCCCTCCCCTCCCTCCCCCCCCCCCTCCCTCCCTCCCTCCCTCCCCCCCCCCCCCTCCCCCTTCCCCGCCCGGCACGGCACCACACTCACGTGATACTGTCCGCCGGCGGCGCCGGGACCGCGTACCCGTCCCTCGCCACGGGCGCGTGGGCGCCGTAATCGAACTGCGCACGAGGGGTTTTTTCAGCTGTGGACGTGGCTGTGGACGCGGTTGTGGACGCGGGCTGTGTTGCTTGTATTGAGAGGGGGAAGGGAGGGGGGGGGGGGGGAGAGGGGAGGGGAGGGGAGAGGGGGAGAGGGGAGGGAGAGGGGAGGAGGAGGGGGAGGGGAAGGGGGATAGGAGGAGGGGATGGGAGAGGGGAAGGGGAAGGGGAAGGGGAGGGGGGGGAATGCTTACTTCTGCGATGGCGTGGGCGTGGGCGTCTGTGTGAGGGGGGGGTGTTAGTTGGATTGGGTTACTCGATGGATGGATATGGAGATGTGGAGATGTGGAGCGTAAAGAGGGGGTGGGGTTACGCACCGGGGGCGGGTGTGGGGGCGGCGAGGGCGGTGGTCATGGCGAGGAGGGCGTAGAGGAGATGGGTTATTGGGTGGGGATGCATGGTGGGGAGGTTGTGGATGCTGATGGGTGGTGATGGGTGGATTGTGGGGGGATTGTGGGGATTGTGTATGGGTGTATGTATGTATGTATGGGTGTTTGTGTGTATGGGTGTTTGTACGGTGGACGATTCAACGAACAAGCTGAGTCCAGACCAGGCGCTGTGGAGGACGGGTTGTTTTATATGACTTATTTTGTCGTCGGAAGAAAAGGCGGGGATGGCAGCACGATTACATATGCAAAAACAGGATCGATGGTCTGTCTTTCTCGATCGATCGGGCGCGTGTGCTGGGCGTTGGACCTGATTCGCTGGTACACATACATACGTACGTGCATGCCTAGGCCGGACTCGACATTCCGCTACCGCCTCGCTCGCCTTATCTGGTTGCGTCATCGCGCCTGTTGAGTACGGTATGTACCGAGGGTGAGGTCGGTCAGTAGAGTACATATCTACGTAGCAGCGGTAAAATGTGGGCGGGCGCTACAGTATTGGATCGATGCTACCAGTTATCGCACCGGCGGCTTAGCGTGCGTGGCTTGCAGGCGGGCGATCTATCGAAATCGGCGGATCTGTTTTAGGCTGGCAGGGGGGGGGGGGCGTTCGGGGTTGAGGTCTGGTTTTGGAAAAGGCTGGATCGGGGGGTGGATGGATGGGGCTTCGTTGCCGGGGATTGGCGGGTGGATGGGGAGATTGGTGGTGTAGGTAGATGGGAGGGGGTGGTGAGAGGAGGAGTTGGTGGTATGTATGGCTGGGGGGGTTATGGGAGGAGAGGTTGGTGTAGAGGGTGCTTTGGTGGTGCTGTGGGAGTAGGTAGATGCGTTTGGGTTTTTCGTCAATGATGATGTGATCAGGTCTTGTTTTATCGTGTTGGATACGTCACGGAATAGCGACAGCAGTCGTATGCGGATTCACCATCACCGTGCCGTTGCTAGTCAATTGCAACAGGTGTTGCTGCTCTGCTTCTTTACTCAAGAGTGCATCGTCCTAAGATGTAACTTTCTCGATGGAACGTCTTTGAGAAAGAAGTTGTTGCAAGAACTCTACTCAAGTCGACAACTCTCTCGTCCTGAAAAAAACAGGCCAGCCCTTAGACTCCACCTTTGCCATCTTCTCAGGTAAAAGCACTTGCATTCTCCCCCTTCTCAAACTCCCCAAAGATAGCCTGGATGTGTTCATTATACGGTGACCCTTCGGGACAGTACCGGTACCTAAACAGCGTATCGATATGCTGACCAGAATTTATATCGCGCCAGCACGCCGTGCGCTCATTGGCCCAATCCTCGAGCGCTTCCCAGCTTCGGCATTGCCGCGGTTGGTCGAAACCGACGGCGCCGGGGTGGTCGTAACTGGTGTAGAGAGGGGTGTCGTCGGCGGCGCAGAGGATGTCTTGGCGCAGCGAGTTGAGGCAATGGAGGGAGTGGGAGACCGGGGAGGTGAGGGGGACGCCATCACGGAGCTGCAGCATCGTTCGTCGAATGCGCTTCTGCAGATAGGGAAGATTAGGACTGATCGGGAGATTTGGTAACCATGAAATTGATCAAGGCTAGGGGCTGAGGGTGTACTGACCACGCAGTGGAGATCGTGGAACCCGTTCAGGAAGTAGATGCCTTTGGTGTCGTCCCATGGAAAGTTCTGCGATCGCGGTAGACCCTTCGACGCTGCATAATCGTGGTCGAGGGCTACAGTGCCGTGATAGTATTCAATCGCATCCCATGCTGCGTTGCTGATCGTCTCGTTCTCGTCAAAATAAACACCCCCGCGCTCGAAAGTGGTTGGAACATCACGGGAAAGCCCAGCTGACATCTATGTTAGTGAATCTCTCTCGTTGGTATAAATATACCGTGATCAATACCGAAATAACTCCTGCCACTGTTGCTCAGGTGTGTAAAATCAGGAATTTGCAGATTCCGAGTACCAAAAAAGACGTTCAAACATAGAGAACCGATCAATGTGAGGATGAGCGGTACGACGTATCGGGGCCGACCTTGCAAGGTACGGCGATGAAGAGGAAAGGTTGGTTCATCCTCAAGAAGCTCATCATCACTCAATAGATGGTAATCTTCGGAGCTCGTCTTCATGGCCAGATTGAAACAAAATAAACCTGTATATGACCTATTCTTGCGATATCAAGGACAGTTTAGAAATTACGAGACTGTAAGACAGAATGCTGACCCTACAACGGAGCGGGTGCCAGCAGTGTAGGACAGGCAATGAAAGGTACAAGCGAAAGACAAGCTACAATCCTTATCTTCCATCCCCGCTTCACACAACCTGATTCGTTGGGATTCTTGATGATGGGTGGTCTGAATCGTGCAGTAGGACGTCAAGCACTTACGCTACCGTGGCACTTGCCAATGCACAACGGACCATATCTGTCCATCGTCAACCGGCTTCCCGTTAGTGAGATCAGCGATGGCCTACCGTAGATTTGCGCGTGTGAATTCTATTCGGCTCCGTGGAGATACCGATGGATCATCTTGACGTTTGGACTCAAGTCCATGCGCTTTGACGTGTCCCTAAGAGGGGATTCTCCGAGACAGGTGGCGCGTGCTCAAAGAGCAATCACACTGCATCTGGTTGGGTGGACCAATGACTGCGGTGGTTGCTGCCGGCACGCAAGAAGTAGAAATCAGCTAAAGTTCACTGCCTGCCAGTCGCAGCTTGCAAAGTCACACTTTGATGTCGTTGCGTGCAATGCTACTTGTGTATGATGGTACATATGATGTTCGTCGGAGAATGATGCGCGAAGTTTAGGCCTGACGTCGGCTCTGACATCGGCTTCACAAACTCTTTTCGATTAGGCTTTCGAACGCCGACCATTCCTTAAGGTACCTTAAGCTTAAAGCCTCTCCTGGCCGCTTGAACCACGCTAAAAGTCGCAAGCTAAAAGAGAACGGCATCACTTTCTTCTCCCGCACGAATGACACTCAAGGGCCAAGGCGCCCAATGATCCGGTGTGATTTCCATGATCACGCTTCGTCATTCTTACTCAGTCTTACAGACTAATCTTATTGGCTGCTCAAATCAATATGGGTTCGGACCATTGGACCCCCTGAATATTGGAATTGATGACGGCCTGTTGTTTTTCTATGGAGTTTGCGTGCTACTTGTAGTACATGCCAAGCACAATAGGGCTCAGGTGCCGAATTCCAACATTGAACCCTGCCCTAACCCTACCCCACAAGTTCATTGACCTTGAAGCTCGGATGCACCGGCAAAACCTTCCCCCCGTTCGACAGCTCCTGCACCCATTTGATCCCGCAGCTCCACCAACAGTGCCGGTCCGGCGCCATCCACTCCTGCTCCAGATCCTCCCGATCGAGCGTCCCCAAAACCACATCGAAGATCTCGGGAAATCCCTCACCCATGCCGTGGCCGATGAAATAGGTCAGGTTGGTGCCACAGCGCCCGCAAAACGTCCGCGTGATGGCCGACGACGACTGGTAGAATTTCAGGTGGTAGGAGTCCTCGTTCGGGCCGGGCTTGAAGAGTTCGACGGCCGGGATCCATGGGGACGAGTCGGGGGGGACGGCTGCTTCGTGGTCGGTGGGGGAGACGGGCTGCAGCTGACACGACATCATGCTCGTGGGCACGCAGATCCAGGTCGGCAGGATGGAGCCCGTGGCTCGACGGCAGTCGTTGCAGTGGTCGGTGGCGACCATGGGGAAGGGGACTTGGCCGTCGGAGAAGGGGTTCAGGGGACGTTCGGGGCGGGCGGGCACTTGGACTTTGTAACGGATGGCGCGACAGTTGCAGCCGCCGTGGAGGACCAGAGGGTGATCTGGCAGCATTGTTGAGGGAGGTGGTTGTCGAGAGTCTTTATGGTAGAGGAGGTGGGTTTATTGGGATCGAATGACTCGAGATTCGAGGCATTAGCTGCCTTAATCTTAGCGAGTTGGCCAAAAATACGTGGGTCTGGAAATTTGGTGCACACACCGTATTTACCTATATTCGTAGGGTAGAAAATCCCCATCGTCCCCTACACCACATGTATCATTGATTTACATACATAACTGTCTCCATACGATAGCAACTCTCAAATCACAATATAAACCTCGCCAAACACTTACAGAAAGCCAGAAGCAATCCATTGTAAAGTGAAGCAAGGCCTACCCGCACGAGTACCTGGTGCTAGGCCACAAGCCGCGACCCAGGAAGCCATCTCAACGGCCGAGTCATCAAAAAACGACCACGAGACCGCGAACAGGAACGCGAGGTGGAGATTCAATTGCACTTCTCCCGCATCCGAGCACCATTCGGTCTTCATCGCATGGTTAGCGATCGAGAGGAATTGCACTCAAAAGCTGTGCTTCGGCGGAGGTTTCTCGACGAGGATGAGAGCTAGAGTAGGTATAATAGATAAGGCCCCCTTCATGAGGCACTTTGCGTAGACCCGTGTTCGGCCAGAGACGTTGGCATTCGGGGCTTTTGGTGGTGATAGATAGACACTTCATCTCGTGCGCACGGACCGGGTCTGTTTGCATGTCGAATCGTCGCTTGACTGGACTCGGCCGGATCGTTTGCTTGTAGGTCCTAATAAGGAGGGTTTTTTCTCGGGTTGAATGGTTTATGAATACTTGTAATACTACAACATTGTGGTGGCCGAGAGCTTGGCAGAGTAACCGCTTATAATGGACAGCGTGAGTTGTGCGAACTCAGCAACCTGGCTTCGATACAGACATCTCTCCTCTTCCTCCGAGACCTGATCCTCCAATGGCATAATAAGATGAGTGTCTCGCTATGTACGACCGTCGAGGCCGATCTACATTTCTAAAACAACATCTCATACCCCTCACATCTCATAAGGACCTCTCATCCTCAACCATTCCTCCAACCCCGACTGGTCGAACTTCTGCCGACGCCACCACACCCAATACGACCGAAAACTCTCCCTGTTCGCCATACCCCGAAACCGCATCCCCCTCTCCCTCGCGCACTCCTCCGCCTCCCCCGTCGCACTCCTCCCCGATCTCCTCACCCTGCCCTCTCCCGTTCCCCTCCCAACCTCCGTCTTCGAAAACCGTGCCACGACCAAGTTGCAGAACGCGCCGAGACAGACCAGATGCTGCACCAGCAGGTCTTTGCCGTCCAGGCGCGCGACCAGCTTGTCGCCTTTCAGCGAGGGCGGCGCGCCGAACCGTGAGGATTCGGGCCGTCCGTTCCGGCAGAGCGGGCGGGCGAGCGGGTTCTCGATCTCGCTCTCGCGGCTGGGCTTGAGCTCGTCCCCGCGGGCGCCGGTCCAGGGGTGTTGGCGCATCCAGAGCGGGAGGCCGACCAGGGTGGGTATGTCGAGGGGCTCGTCGTTGAGGTGGAATTGGGTCTCGAAGGAGGAGATGGTGGTGGTTTGGTAGACGCGGCGGCCTTCGGAGGGGTAGGCTTCGCTGTCGCAGCGGATTATGACGGCTTTGGTCTCTTTCGGGTATGCGTATTGGGTGGGCATCCAGTATTTGGATCCTTGCAGCATCGGTCCGGTGGCGGATACGGGTTTGTTGTCTTTGGTCGACTGGCCGGCCGATCCTTCGTCGGTGTGGCCGAAAACCATGTTGGTGCTGTTGAAGGGTGTCGGAAAGGGCGGGAGTTGAAAGTGGTGTTGACGGTGCAGAAGGAGTGCGGGAGGGGCGTCTTTGAGATGGTAGCACAAGATATGTCCCAAATGGCGATTGAGAGCCTAGGCTCGGAGATGACTTTGAGGCTCTGATTGGGACTTTCAATTCAGGATCGGATGCTGAGTTGATATATATGGTAATTGTATGGTTAGAGCCCCGCTGGCTCTGAGAGCTGGTGGTTCAGGATGGATGATACCAATTTGAGATATGCTATGGATCATTGATTCTGGTTGCTAGAATGCTCCTCGTGAGTTGCGGTGGTATCTAGATCGAGCTCCATGAGCAGAAAGACGCGTTCACCTCCACGCTCACCCTGGTCAATAAGTCGAGGCGATGGCGCATTGCGGTGAGAATGGGCTTCAGCGGAAAAGCGTACGAATTCGAACCTCTGACTACGATAAAAAAGATCCACGGAAACAGATAGCAAAGCCTCACCCAACAATCTCAATCGCTATGTCTGAGAGGATACTTGACTGATCGATCTCCATGTCCGACAGTCAACCATGGTCGTCGGGCAAAGCCTCACCCAACAATCTCAATCGCTATGTCTGAGAGGATACTTGACTGATCGATCTCCATGTCCGACAGTCAACCATGGTCGTCGGGCTACAGAAAGCCGGGGGTTTGCTTTCGTCCGCGTCTAAAGTCATATGGCGGTTCTCTATCTGATCCAAACTTACCGCATCGGATATCTTCTTCAAGGATACGAATGAGGAAAGATAGGCAGGACGGAGAAGGATTTGATGGCATTCATGCTGGGTGAAATCTGTGGATGACATGCCCTTTTGTCGCAGACTCCTTATGCTCGTATGGAGTAAGATTTTTCAATTTAGCAGGTACCGAGGTGGAAACAGGAATAAGAACGGCAAACGAAGGAGCCACTCTGTTGGAAAATCAGCTTCAACTTAGAGTCGCATTGATTAGCGTTGGTCTGGGGTTCATGAATGTCTGCGGAATCCTTGGTTGAGTAGGTGTCTACTTATTTGGGGGCTCCTGAGTGCCCGAAGTGTGTTGATCTCTAGCAAAATAATCCCATTGACCTTGCGGCGGCTTCTCTTCGATATCCTCCCATCTATGTTGGATGTCAGCAATCATCTACGATTGAAATGCCATGAGACGGGATACGTACACCTTGGACTCGGCCATGGTGTCCACCAGCTTCAGCTCTCCCTCTGCCACCTGTATAACCTCCTCAATCAGTCCTCCTCCGATCTGGTTTTCCGCTTCGCTTATCCTGTGGACGAGCACATCAGCACATTACGAAAGGCAGATCATATCCAAGAAGTCGAGATGTCTGACGTACTGTGACGCCTCCAGTGGCGGCTCGGGCTCCCAGTTGACAACCTTCGAATAGTCTTGTCGGCGTCCCTTTCTCAACAACGCGACCTCCGCTGCCTTCTCCTCACTAGTCCGTGTGCCCTCCAATGATGTCCATTCTTGATCCTCAGATCCCTTGTCTTCCACCGTCACAAAGTGTTGACCACCAGCGGATTTGTAATTATAATTTGCCCCAGGCTGGAAGGCTTCAGGAAATTTCTCGATCTTTTCAGCGGCTTTCTTTGCCCATTCATCGTAGCCTTCTGGTTTGATGGACTCGATGATCTGCATGCGGTGTCTCGTCAACGCTTCTACGGATTGACGGTAGACCGAGTGGTCTGGGAAAGCCTTGAGCTTGTCGAGGGTAGCGCCATAGAGGTAGAGGAGGGTGGATCGTGGAGCCGGGTGGGTGAAGAGACCTGTAAGGCCTGTCGGATTGCCAGCTTCGAGGTAGCGGCCTGACTTGACGGAGGCAAGCAATCGTATTGTATTCCTCATGTTTAGTTTGGTCTTATCATCCCATTCAACCCAAACCACACCCAAGCGCTCAATTGAGTAGACGAAATTGAAACTGAGGTGGTGACGTGAAATCGATAATGTCACCCACCACACCCAAGGCACCGAACGGCGGAAGAAAGTGCCAAGACATACGAAATGTACCCCGATCTCACCCTTTATCAGGCCTAGGGTGACCGCCGCTTTACACTCGTGCGAGCCTGGCAAAAATGATAAAGATTACAACAAAACATTAATTGAAATAAACACCCATTTCTTAATAGATCAGCGACTTTACCTTCGATGGGTAGTCTGTCCAGTGATTTGCGAAACCTTGTTGATGTCCCATTAGTTGGGAGAGTATCGTTGCTTGTCACAATTGTTTGCATTTTTTGGATCCCTTTCAATTGGACTAAATTGTTGTCCGAAGACAGCGAAGAGAATCAAGAACCGTGCCAAATTTCTCGTAAAGTTGTATTCTTGATCTTTAGCTACATGTCATCTCGCGGTAGAGTCATTCTCGAACACCATGGATTGAAAGCACCGCAGGGCTATTTTGTGATACTGCCATCTTTGTCGCATCTAAGCTACACGCCTTACTCTTCCCCCAGGCCTTTGACATTGGCTGGTCGTTGGCCGCATGGTAAGTGAAGTAAGTGAAGTCACGGCCAACAAAATGTGATTCTCTGACCAAAGTCATAGCATTCTCGGATCTCATATACACGCATCCGTCTCAATTCGCCGAAGAACGGTGAATTGAGTCATGAACTGGCCGTGTATCACTGCTGTCCAAGATTGGTCACCTCCCGATCCAGCTGTTCAACCCATTTTAGCCCGTGCTTGAGACCTAACAGGATCTTCCTATATTTCTCCGACTGGGCGTTTTCAGGTCCGGAAGGAGCCGCCAACCCGTTCAAAGGCTCACCAGATGCCAGAATTTCGGCAGCGTAGAATGTTCGAGGTTTCTCAAGAACTTGTCTAGGGAGGTCTTCGAGATCGTATGTCTCCGGAGGTGTGCCGAGGAAGTCCTGTAACTTTTTCGAAGTCGGTCGCATGCGAGGTTTGCTGAGCCTTTTCTGCGAAGAGATGAGCTACCCTTTGTCCTGATAGATCCAGTCCATGATCTGGCCTTTTTTTCTCGCCTATGAAGGTTAGTAAAAGTGCTCAAGGTCACTAGCTGCGTGCGTCTTACCAACTTCTTGGTCATTGTAGCCGAGAGTGGCTTTCAGCGTAGCTGCAGCATGACCACCACCCATTTTTGTTAGATGACTCTCCGTTCCGTCGTCGTCTATTCTTGAAGACCGATACCTTAGCAGCGCCTGATAACAATCTTCGATTGTGCAAGATCTTTGTTGGCATGACTCTTCTGCTTTCAGCTGTGAACCTCGATGTGAGGTAGTGTTGCGCGAAAATATTGCTGTCCTCCGATGCCTGATTCCCCGAGTGGGGGGCGCCTTCTCTCCTGAAAAGGCCTTAACCTTATATCGAACTGCGTTTTGGCTGACCGCCATATCTACCAGCAGGGCTTGTGCATCAGTCGCCACAGAGGTTTTGAAAGGGATAATATGCGTAGCAAAGCTTGAAAAGGGAGCATTAAGATGTGTTGTAGGACAACGAGGAGTCGTGTGTTATATCGTCGAGCATTAAAGACTTTCGGCATGAGATCTCCAGAAAGATCGAGCTGCCAGGAAGTCCTATCGCCTAGCGGAGTTGTGGGGGATGTGTTGTAAAAGGAGGAAAGCAAGATGCAGGAAAGAGGTTTTTTCATGTTCTGACAATCAAATACTTATTAGATACAAACAGACCAGCCTTCGTCTTCATACTCAAGATTAGCTGATTTCTGCGTTTAGGCCCTTTCTGCACCTATTCAAGCATTCTTACTGCATACGGTAAATCTGTACACAAAAAGTACCATCCTCCCCTACCCGACAACAAAGACTTTAGTACATGCGTGAGAGTGAGGAGTGAGAGTGTACGCGTAGGGGTGCTGTAGCACGTTGATCAAAGAAGGAGTATCTAGGCCTCTTACGCGTGCCAAGACGCGGCGGGACAGGGGTCCACAACTCTCGCATATCTTTGACCCCGACCTGTCTCCTGTCCAGCACACGAACTAATCTCCTCACACATCTACAATTGCGACTATCCTTGAGCATCGGTATTCAAGTTCTGATGAACAGTTGGATGCCCCCCGCATGAGAGAGGAAGTCGCTCTTTCAGTAGCGCTGCGATACCGTTTCTTCCTAGCATCAGACACTCATCAGATTCTCACTGCAGCAGGTTCCCGATACCACCTCTACAACCTGTTCGCGACCTACCGCTCCTAAAAGCCTCCCCTCATCATGCGCTCATTCATATCGAGGGCCTTGATTACTCTCGTCTTGCTATCTCCAGTGTTTGCCAAACCTGCTGTGATCGACGCCCAACATCAACTCAATACAGTGGAAGATGCATTATCAGAGACAAAGGCACAGTCGGAAGACTCGAAGGCACTGGCAGAAGATCCAACAACCAAAATTTTAGATCTGCCACAAGCAGAGGTAAATCTGCCAAAAGAGAAGATAGAAGAGGCAAAGCTAGTTGAAGATGGGCCAAAAGCAGGAGCTACCAACAGTGAAGCACTATCGGGTACAGCGACAAAGTTCAACGACATGGAAGTGCCGCCAATGAAGGAGCTGACAGGGGAGGGATATGATGAAGACATTAAGAACGGCTACTGGTTTGTGAAGCACTACTCGCCCTACTGCCACCATTGCAAAGCCATAGCACCAACGTGGCAAACGCTTTACGAGTTTTACTATACCTCCAAACCGGTCCCTGCCGGCAAGAAACCTTCGGAGTCTGATTCACTGAATACCTTTACCCGCTACTACGACTTTCACTTTGGATCATTGGATTGTGTAGCTTACGGCGACGCCTGCACGAAGCATAAAGTCGGTGCTTTCCCAACATTCTCTCTCTACAAAGACGGCAAGTTCGTCAAGAAGTTCGAGGGCACAAAAGATATGGCCGGCCTCAGTGCGTTCATTGAGGACACCTTGGAATCCACACGCCCGGGTTCGAGACCGAAAGATGGCATGAAGCTCCCAGAGCCTGAAGCAACGTCCGTCGATACCGCCGCTCCAGCTGAGAAGCCTGCAGAGAAGGACAAGGACCCGGCAGCAGGAAAGGCAGCCGCGGAGAAATATAAGGATAAGGTAGTGGAGGACTCACCCCTACCGGCTGCGGAGACAGGGATCGTTAAAGCTATGAGCAAGATTCCAGGGGTTCCAAAAAAGCCCAAGAAGCCATCAGCTGCCCCAAACCCTCTTGGCAACTCTGTCTCTTTGACGCAAGAAAGCTTCCAAAAACTGGTCACAAACACGCAGGATCCTTGGTTCGTTAAATTCTACGTGCCGTGGTGTCATCACTGCCAAGACCTCGCACCAACCTGGCAGCAAATGGCCAAGGAACTTCAAGGAAAGCTCAATGTTGGAGAAGTCAACTGTGATGTCGAAGTTCGTCTTTGCAAAGACGTCCATGTCAGAGCTTACCCAACGGTTCACTTCTTCAAGGGCGGTGAAAGAGTCGAGTATGATGGGCTTCGAGGTCTTGGAGATCTCGTGAGCTACGCAAAGAAAGCCTTGGATGTTGGTGGCGGAGTCACGGACGTGGATGCAGATGCTTTCAAGAAGATGGAAGAGACCGAGGAGGTCATTTTCTTGTACTTTTTCGACCACGCTACGACAGTCGAGGATTTCGAAGCCTTGGAGCGATTGACCTTGAGTTTGATTGGGCACGCAAAGCTTGTCAAGACGGACAACAAAGAGCTTGCCGATCGATTCAAGATTTCGACGTGGCCGCGGTTGCTGGTATCAAGAGACGGAAGGCCTAGTTATTACAACGTGCTGGCACCGAAAGACATGCGAGACTTTCGACAAGTGCTCGGCTGGATGCAATCGGTGTGGCTGCCTATCGTGCCCGAGCTTACCGCATCGAATTCTCGAGAGATTATGCGTGGCAAGTATGTCGTTCTCGGTATATTATCTCGTGAGCGGGCAGATGAGTTCGTGCTCGATAAGCGCGAAATCAAGAATGCGGCGCTGGACTGGATGGAGAAGCAGACACATGCTTTCCAACTAGAGCGCCAAGAGCTTCGGGATGCGAAGCAATTACGTCTTGAGGAGGCTGAAGACCGAAACGACCAACGAGCGTTACGGTCAGCTAAAAGCATCCATATCGATATCAGAGAAGACGACAAGAAGCAAGTCGGCTTTGCGTGGGTGGATGGTGTTTTCTGGGAACGGTGGATAAGGACGACTTATGGTATCAATGTCAACGATGGGGAGAGGGTGATCATCAACGACGAGGATGTGAGCCACAATCCTGACCTTACCTCAATACTTTGGTGCTAACAACCTTGTCTCAGAACCGACGATATTGGGACACAACCATATCCGGCGCGCCTATCATGCCCTCTCGTACCTCCATCCTCGAAACCCTCCCCAAAGTTGTCGCCAGCCCTCCCAAAATATCCGCCAAATCTTCTACAGGTGTCATTCAACGCATTTTCTTCGGCCTGCGTGGAGCTGCGACGGGCCATCCGTGGGTATCGCTGGGGATGTTGATTGGTATTGTCATTGGCACTTTGATATGGGGAAGGGGAAGGATGAAGAGCGGGAAGAAGAGGAATTCAGGGGGTTTCTTCCAGCTCGATGGAAAGGAGGGATTTTTGAATGGCGGTGGGTATGGGAAGGCTGACTGAGTATGAAATAGACCCAAAGAAAGCATTGTTGTGCAGGGCTGAGGGCATTGCCTAGGCCTGTCATTTGTAATCTAAGGTATGCTTGTCATATATTTGGGTGTGGCGTTCAGGATTGGAAGAGGTAGGACTTTTCGACATTAGAGCAATATCAATTTCAATTGACCATCTCCAATGTCTGCGCTGTTGGTTTTGTGATTATCAGCCCTTCTCGTTAGAGCACTCGAGGTCATATGTCGAATAATTGCACGTATGGTCTCAAGTAATGATGGCGCAACAAGCACAGTCTATGACTTTATGTACACCCCCCAGGACTTCGCTTTCCGCCCGTAGCGTTCATACCATCCATGTATCGCTTCCAGCAGAAACGACCTCAGAACGGCTGTAGCCGGGAACATTAGCCCCATGTCCGGTCAGCGCCGAGGGGAGGACTCACATTATCACTGGGCGGTATCTCCCTCACAAAGTAGTCTCCGATAACCGGGAATTTCTGCTCAGCCAAACACGTCAGCGCTGCCGTCCACCCTCTCCTCGTGCTCTCCTTCATTGCCGGCTCCCTGGCCCTCTCATCGTTCCCCACAACTCCCCACTCCTTCCTCCATCTAATCCCCTATGCCGTCGACTTTCCCCCCTCCTTCACCTTTCTCGAAGCAGGACTGAACGCGAGGACCAGAGACCCACCTGCAGTATATCCTTCCTGACCTTCGGCACCTCGGCGAAGAACTGCAGCGCGAATATCGCGCCCACGACGCCGAAGCTGCCCGCGGTGATGCCACTGTTCCCTTTCATCAGCAGGTCCGTTCCCGACCATTCAATGGCCCGCTCGCGGGGAGGCGAGGCGCAGGGGATGAGGAGAGGGGAATTGGAAGGTCGGCCCGCGCGTACAATTTCAAGGCTCGCCCTGGCCCTATGCCCCGGAGGTTGGGTTGGGTTTTGTAGCTGCGTCATTGTGTCATTAGCATGTCGGTTTTGACTATTGGTACTACAAGGTTTGACCGTTGTGGACGGTGGTATAGAGGGCGTGGGGGTAGAGGGAAGGCGTACTTGGGCCCATAAGGCGATTTGTAGGTGCCGTAGGCGGGCTTTGAGGTTGCGAAAGGGATGCCGTGGTGGCCTTGGACCTGGGGGGGGGAAGGTCAGTGGATTCTGGGGAGGATGGGAAGGCGGGGTGTAGGTACCATGATGACGGTTTCGTGTGTGATGAGGGGTTGAGGGTTGATGATGAAGGAGGTGATGGGGAATTGGATGGATGGTGATGCGATGGCACAAAGAAGGAAGTTCTTGGCGTCTTTTAAAATAAATAAAAAAAAAAAAAAAAAACAAAAAAAAAAAAAACAAAAACAAAAAAAAAATAAAAACAACAAAAAAAAAAAATATAAAAAATACTCAAACCTAACAACTAAAAAAAACTCTTAATAAAAACAATACTCTTTTAAGCCAAAACTAAAATAACTACTTATTATATATTTAAAACAAAAACTTAAAAAAAACAATAAAAAACCTCATAATTTTCAAAAGCGTTAACAAAACGAACACAAACACTCAACCATTTAATGCTTATTACGGATAGGATCTTGGGGAAAGGATGAAGGAGGAGCTCACCGAGACTTCTCCCGGAGCTACAGATCCGTTGCTTGAACATCTGGTTGGACAAAGGACCGCGCAATCTTTCGACCACAGTATCCATAGCTACTATCGAGCGGTGATCAAGGTCAATGTACCCTTTCACCTCTACCTCGGCTTCCCATGCCCTGCAACAACCAAGTGGGTACATTATACTCATCAGTACAAATGTGCCAGTATGCGTCTACGATCTTGCTGCCAATTGTAGATTTGATTTTTGTCGAAGGAGACCAATATATCATGCAAGAGTGGCGACAATACTTTCTTGAATTTAAAGGCATTATCCAGCAACTGTTCATACATGTCATTCACTATGTACTCAAAAATCGAGGAACAGTATCGAAGGATATACTCTTTTATTTTTGTGGTTCTTGGGTCCTACAACCACACATACTAGAAGGTGCAGTAATCACAGTAAGCGACTCGCACAAGCCAAGCCGGTCGCATCTCAAATTCAGAGCATTACAAACATTTGAACCCTAACACCTCTGATCCTCTGCCTCAACCCAGGGATTGGTCTCCCTCTCGAGACGCCCTCTCAAGTTGCCGGGCAGGGAAGGAAAGTGTTGTCAGACGATCCAGCGTCTTATTCAAAACCAGATTTCTTTTCAACAGGCGGCGGAGAATATCGCCTCGATCTACGAAGAATGCATCAGAGAGGGTATGGGGGACGCGAGGATGTGGGACCTGTGGAATATCGTCTGTGACGCTATTGATCACTTAGGTGATCCTACGAGCAATCTGGAACAGCTGGTGCAGATGATGATCTGCATCTCGAAGCTTCCGGATGTGGTTGATGTGAATGGCGAAGTGGTCAAGCCGTCGATGAATTCAAAGGTTTTCTGGCGAGAGCTACCGGGTTTCGCATTTTACTTCCGCGAAGTCGCTGTGAGTAAGTCAAGAGAAGGGGAAAAGAATCCTATCGTTCCGTTCCTTTCTCTGCCCTCCGAGGTGTATACTTGTTTTCCTTATTTCCCTTTTCTCTTCTTTTTTTTTCTTCCAAACTGAGCCAGACACCCACAGACGTCCCGCCAACATCCCAGCTCCTCCGCGGCAACCCCATCACCTGGGGCGAGCAAGTCCAAAAACACACCCACGCCAACACGTTCAAAGCCCTCTACCTCCACGCCCTCGACTCGAACCTCCAAACCCCCCACCGGCATTTCGCAGCCATGCACAACCACGCGCAATGGACCCTCTGCGAAGCCCTCGAAGTCCCCACCGATCACGTCGAGCAGGTGCGCCGGACGGAAATGTACGTCCCCGCTGCCAGTCAGTGGATTCTGAAGGCGGGCGCCACCGTGTCGAGGTTCTGCGCGCAGAGGGCGAACAATGACGGCGAGAGGGTCGTGCAGAGGTGGATCGGGGGCGATAATAGCGGGGGAGTGGATGTGGGGCGGTGAGGAGGGGTTCGGTGTCGAGAGGTGGGCGTTTTGGAAGAAGAGGTTCGGAGAGATTGGCGGGTTGGAGGGGGCGGAGGGGGTGGTCAGGAGGCTCGCGGCGGAGGCGGAGGAGGAGATGGGCAGGATCGGGGTGGAGAGGGCGGGGTGAGGAAGCGAGCGGGTTTTCCATTGTCTTCATCGTCGTCCTCGCGCGAAGGAAGTGGGCAATTCCGAACCCATCAGAAGGGGCATTGTCTCCCTTGAGCCGCACCATGTGAGGCATTTTTACCTTTTCGCTCTCATTGGTGTCCGAAAAGTTGCCCGCGTGCGTACGCAAAAGCACGGCGAAGGATTGATGAAACTGCCACTTTCCGTCTGTAACCCAATCATGTCATTCATTCGTGCCCAAGTAACCTAAATAACAAATCGCCACCAGTGAAACTTCTTCCTACAAGGTCCCACCGAGCTCACCGTCCTCTTTCCCTCGACCGTGACAAACGCTTTTCTCAACATCACGCATCCATCTCTCTGGATCAGACTCCGCCCCACATGCCTCAGGGCTCCACGACACAGGGCGGTAGCAGCAGCGGTGTCGTAAACACCGCCCTGGGCTTCGTCGCTGGCAACCACTCCCGCCTGCGGCGACCGAGTGGGCGCCGTGGGCTTTCTCACATCAATGCATACGATCGCCTTCCGAAGGTACCTTGGCGGAGGCTTGGGGTCACTGCTAGCGCTGTTCCGGACTTTGCGGAATACCGACTGTGTCGAAGCAGAAGATGCGCTGATATCGGTGTTTTCACACCCGATCGTTACACATGCCGACTTTTCTCGTAGTCGACCTCGAACAGGCACCGATTTCAAGCCTCGTCCCTGTGTCACAGAACTGCGAGCGATGCAACTACGGATTTCCCTCTTGACACACACAAACTAATTCGACAGAGATGCATAATCGTCCCGTTATTTCACCGGAATATCTTATGTAGCGCACAGTATTACCTAGAAACAAATTGTGTCGCCGATCGAATCGCCGGAGACGGGGTTCCCGGGGACAAGATGGTCTCCGTTGGTACTAGTACAAGCAGGCCGGATCAATGCAAACAACCCATCTGTATCGTAGGTCATCCGCCGCTCCACCAGGCTCCAATCGACAGGGTTCCGGTCGGGGGGACCGCGAGAAAAACCTGATACGCGGGACTCGTCCGCCGAGGATTTGATTGTCGACTTTTGGATCGCACACAGCGTGGGTCTTGGCACGGGAGTCGCCGATCAAGTCTAACTCGTCTGTGCCACGGGGGCTTCAAGATGGAGTAAATGAACATTGTCTGAGGAGAAATGCTGCGTAGATGCCGATAGCGTTGGGATATAGCTGGTGGGCTGGGAGGGTCGTTGTGGTTTGGAGCCGCCGGAGATGGGGTGCTGCGAGCATGGTGGTTTGGTTTCGGGGGTGGTTGTGGGCGGGGGATGGGTGCTGGTTTTGGGTTTGGTACATCTTTAGGGAAGAGAGTGGAAGCGACGGGGTTGATGCTGGATGCGCAAAATGGCGGAGTGGGCGTTTTGGTCCGAGTCCGGATTGTGCTCATAGGGGTTGGCGTGGACGATTGGGTGTGGTTGTTGCTCTTGTGCGTCGGTCTTTCGAAGATAGTCGGGACTGCACTTGTGGAAGTTGCGTGCCTGCGCTTCCGTTGGCGTCGATGTATGTCACATAGCTCCGGTGATGGTTACGCTCCTGCTGCATCATTCGTACTCGGCTTCGTTGATTCGGGCGGCGTCCGGCCCGAGTTGAAGAATGTTTGGCTGGAAGGAACGTCGTAGCATGTTCCGGTTGGCAAGGGTCGACTGATAAAGCGGGAAAGCTCAGGCCATTTTGCTGGTTTTGAAGAGGCGGGTTTTCGACGAGCAGAGGGAACAAGGGCAGCAGGGCCGTTGGAAACATTTGGACAAGCGATCTTTGCATGATTCGAGGAGGACTTTGGACTTGTGGGCAGTGGGAGAGGTCTGGGGATGGAGGTGCTGAGGAGTTGAGGAAGTTGTGAAGGAGACAGCTCGATAGACGTCGAGGTCTTCAGAACTGGAACTGGAACTGTAGTGGTGAGGCATGATTTGTGCTTTTGGAGAAAAGTGGGTTTCTGCTCTTACGAATCTGGTGATGGGCATTGTGTAGAGAGGCCGTCCAGGGTCTTGTATCAAGTCATTGAGCGCTATGCGGACCTGAAGTCTGTGGCTTACGGAGCATATGATATTTTTAATGGAACTTGCAGAAGTGTCCATCGCGATAGAGCATTTCGAAGCTTGGGCGACAAAGAAAGGAAAGGTGATGTATTGGACGAAAGAACGTGGGGGTGAAGTATCAAGGGTGATCTGTGTTGTGGCTTACTTGAACGTTGCGTAGAAGCAGGAAACTTGTAGACGGACATTAGAAAGCAGAGAGCGGATTGGGCAGACGTCGAGTCCGCCTCACTGTACCTTTACAGAAGAGGAGAGGGTAGAAGATTGTTTTCGAGCCAAGAGGTATGTCTATTAATAGATATGAGACTACTCAAAACACTCCTGAAGGAAAAGGGCAAGACTTGGCATCGCCAGGTCATGTGGGAAAGTTGAGAAAATAAAGCTGACTGACTTGGGTGCAGCAGTAAAAGATGGAATGGAGCAATGGACTTGCATCAAGTGGACTGCTTGTGGACTGAAAAAGGGGGGCTGTGTCTGCATGGCATATGCATGGAGTATGGAATTATTCTGGAAAAATAAACTCAACGAATCAGAAGGGCTCGAAGCGCTTTCAATCTCTCGCTTGTGCAAGTCTAAGAGACTTGGCGCATACTACACGTGGTTCGGGAGTACCTTCTCTTTTTGAACCATATACCCAACGAGGCACCCTTTTACCTTGAAAAGGGCCATGCATGTCGTCAGTCTGCATTGAGCTGATATACACATGATTGGGTTGGGTGCGCTCCGAAGCGCTGCATACCGGACAATGGAAGTACTGGAAGACGTTGATCGCGTATTGCGGAAGGGCCTCTTCTCCTTGCATATGTACTAGTAGAAGCCAGATTCGTCACTTCAGCTTCTGCTATTGATAGCATGAAGCCTGACCCAAAGCGCACAATCCGACTGTTGCACGAGCGCCATCAACCCTTTCCTTCCCCAAAGCCCCTGCATGGATGCAACTGTCTATCTTTTGGCTGGATGGAGACTGACCTATTAGGTGCTAGAACCTTCACTCTGCCAGTATAGTGCACTCAGATACATCTTCGACTCCTCGCTCACTCGAGGATATCTGGGAGAGTGCTGAATGTCCACCGCCTGGCAAATATTTGCCTCCCCTCTGACCGGAACAAGGTAGCTCCAGAGTCGATAGGTGGATGGTTGCAGGAAGGAGCAGGAGGTCCTGGCACTAGGTACATTAGATAGCTAGAATAGAAAGTCGCTCATTTGACCCTGTTCGTCGCTTGGTAGCCGACCAACTCTCCATTGCAGACAATGCCGTCTCATGAAGCTCGACGGGCCAGACGTTTCACGCGACATTCGTACATGTAAGGTAGAGAAGAAGAGGAAAAGAAAAGTGTTGCTGGTTGCAACGTCATTTCCGGCAAATGCCATCTTCCAAATCTTCCGGTGCGAGTCGGAGGTGGTTCCGGCATTTGCCGACGGTCAAAAAGCGACGAAATTCAAAAGCCAGTAGCAAAAGCAAACAAGAAGGACCGAATGAATTACCCCACACTTCACCCTCTTAACTCTTCTCACAATCATGTACAACAGTATGTCTGCCGAGTCTTTGAAGACGCGATCAGTGTAAATTGCTTTTGATTCCTGCTTCTACGATATCAAACAGCCCGGTCCCGGAGATCTGACGCCGGTCATTCAAATGCCTCATTGCTAGAAATCCTCCGTGCGGAGACCCTTTTCTCGCATCTGAACACCAAGCTGACTTGAATAGATCCTCTACTATCCCCAATCACACCCCAACAGCCTCCTCCCAATACCCAACACCCAACACCCAAGCCATCACCACCACCACCTCCACCAACAACAATGCCGACCAACCGCCCCTTCTTCTTCAACTTCCTCGCCGCCTTCCGCGCCCAATCCGCCATCTCGAAATCCTCCTCGAACCCCTCCTCCTCCCCCACCACCTCCACCTCCACCCCCACAGCCTCATCCACCTACGCCCCCCCGACCCTCTCCCGCGCCATCGCGACCAAATCCCCTTCCCCCGGCGCCACGACCGCCGCCGTCCAGGCCGCCAACCCCTCCTTCTCCCACGCCCGTCCGGCCTCGACCTCCCCGTCCGCCTCCATGTCCCCGCCGCCCAGGAGCCCGCAGGCCATGTCCCCGCCGGGCGGCGGCTTCCGCCGCGCGAGGAGGGGCAGCGATACCAGCAGCGAGGGCGGCTTCAGGGATTTGGGCGAGAAGTGGTATGTGGGTGGGAAGACGGCGGGTGGGGAGGAGAGGTATCTGAGGCTGGGGGCGGTGAGGAAGGAGAGGAGTGGGGATCGCTTGAGCTTGGATCGGTTGAGTTTGTAGTTTGGGAGGGAGGGAGGGAACGTATTAGTACATATGGGGTTTTACTTGGTTTTTATGGAAAAGATGGACTGCGGAAGGTCTTTTTTTCCCGGTTTAGTACAGGGTTGGCATAGCGGATCGCTATTCTATTCTGTATATGAATGTTACAGCTTCTGGGTTCGCAATGGCAACGTTCCACTTCTTGCGGGGAACACGGACGGTGGTTGTGGATGCGGTCCCTAAACCCGAACATTTTACTCTCGGTGACACGCTTTACCCCAAGACGAAATGCCGCACATCGAGAAAATCCGGCGGAAACGTTTCTTGCTGGGTATCTTGGATGGGAAATGTAATCTTCCATCCTCGTTCCTCGTGCTCGCTGTACCGCACTTCGATCTGCTCTCCTATCCTGTCTGCGATAGCTGGGTCCTTGAGGCTTTTCAGCTTTGGAGAGTGAGTCTTCGTTGTCGTTGTTCAACCCGGGGTTTCAGGAGCAGGATTTGTAGTTTCTACATTCATCTTTTTGTTTTATTCAGAGGCGAAGTGTTTTCCTCAGCTCTGCATTGAGGTTGCCGGTAGGAAGGCTCTCTACCTTATCTCTCAATGGGAACAGCTAGCGGCCTTTCATTGCGTTACATCATGTCAGTCCATAATGACTTGCGGCATCGATTACGATTCACTGTATGAATTCTATGCTTCATTCACAACTTTCGTACTTCATAGTTATCATTCTCGGTGATTGAGACCCGAACCCTTGACTGCTGAATCGTCATTTGCAACGTAGAGATGCCGCTAATTGCTACTTACACGAGGAAGTCAACATATCTCTCAAAAGAGCCTAGCAGATGTTTTGTCTGTCGGGAAGCTAACTAAAGTGCCCCTTATCTCCGATTGAAAACTCATCATCTGACATGGCAGCGCCTTTGGAGCGTGGCAGCTTAGGCGATTCCCCTGACACGCTTTGGAGCGGCCCACAGTCGAACTGGCGGTCGCCAACGAACCGAGAGCGTCGAACTTCTTTCGTTTCGTCACGTCATTGCAAAGATCAGCATAGTTAGCTTCGACTGCATTCTGATATGCTCGTGTCGCCCAACGCCAAAATCGATTTTCGGTATAGATTGGCGGCACTTCTTTAGGTGATGTCTTCTTTCTGCACTTGATCAAGCGTGGTAAAGTCTTGTCTGAGGGAGAGTTGAATCTATCTCAAGTACATCGGAGGAGCTTGTTGGAAAGAAGCTTCAGGCGTAGTAGAAAAACGGTACGCGGAAGGCTCATGGTGGCAGGAACGCACTGTGGTGGGTGCTTCTGTAGTCGAGATCCCCAGCTGAAGGAAGGTTCTCGAATCGAGTGGTAGAAAAGGCTCCACAAGGGGCGCGGTCACTGCAGTGACAGGATGGAAAGCTTCAAGAGAAGTCGAAGGACGTCTTGTGAAGACGGCTTTTGGAGTAGAAAGCAGACAGCTGCTTCGGTACCAGGAAGGAGGGAGGAGTTGTGAAAGGCTTTTGTGGAGAGATCTCGGTGAGATACTCAGATTTCTAGGAGCCAGTGACAGAGATGTCTCCGTTGCAAAAGGCTTCAGAGGAAGCACGGCTGGAAAAGAAAGGATACTCAGGACTGGAACGATCAGTTCAACGCCACATTGAGCCCCTGGCATGGTCACCATGAGAATCATGGAATAAAAAGACCGGTTGTCACTGGGTAGAAGGATTGAAGAATACCTATGGAGAACTCTGATGGAATGAAGAAAGGGATTTGTTAAATCTGAGGAGATTCCTACGAGGGTTCGAAGAACAACGTCTATGCCTCAGGAGAGTAGGCATGTGCTGTTGCTGATACGGTCCACATCCCTGTTATCACTTTATGAGTCAAGACATGTTAAAGTGTTGCGAACTCCTTTTCTCCAGTAGTCGGATCTGCAGATTCTCGAAGCTTTTTCCGCTCATGATAGGGAAAACAATAAGAAACGGACATATTGAGGCCCTTCTTGTGTTGCTTGCTCCTCCTCACGGATCCATCGGCCTCCGCTACTATGCCCGAGAATCCATTGCTTTGGGTACATCGACACTTGAAAATCTTACTCATGTAGATGCTGGCATCCGACGCGGCAGACCATCGAGCTCTCCTCGCCGTGAGGCTAGTGGTATGTTAGCGGAGCTCCGCCTCGCTGCGGATTTTTCTGTTAAATTGTCCGGGGTGAGGCCGTCAAGCTCAATAACAGCGGTGGCTTTGTCGATACTTGCCAATGCGAATTCTAGCCCATTATCGATGCCAGGGGCCTTGTCGCTCTTGCCTTCTGTCTTCTTCATGACAAACAATGGTACCCTCTTGTGCGTTGGGCCGGTTGGAATACATTGCATCAACGTGTCTCTTCCTTCCCTTTTTCCGAACATCTACCAATAAACCGTTCACGAGCGCCTCCCCAGGTAACAAGTTGGTCCTCGATGTCTGTGGGTGTTCGAAGTGAGCCTGTTTCAGTGGAATAGCTTTCGCGGAGGCTCGGTGAAGTTGAATTGATGTGTTAGTTGGTCATTGGATCAATAGAAGTATAGATGACTATGTCTTGGGTTACAAAGACAAGATCTGTAGAGCTTAACGCCATATTGACCAGCCACTTGATTGTTCTTTCATGCAAGATGTAAAAGAAGAAAAGTAATGCTGATCCTTCCTAGAGGTATCATGTGGTCTCTACACCGGGAAGGGACTGTTTGCTTGAAGAGTCGGGTTGCCCCGTGGTCATGATCGTGGTCTTATCAACCATTCATGTCTTTGACACTGACTCTCTTCGCCAGGGAACCGAGAATTGGGTTCAGAACCGCATGGCCTGGGCGACATGATGAAGCATCTCCAAACGGCCTTTGCCAGTTTCGTCAGCGACCCCGGCACCCATGTGTTGCTACCAAATATCAGGTTTCACGGGGTGGTAGGAGTAAGTATGTTCTCCGGGAAAGCAGTTTCACGCATGAAAGAAAGGTGTTTCTTGGTATAGTAGTAGTTGATTGATTCTCTCAAGCTATAAAGGAACGAAATTAAAGTAAATAGCGACACGCCAAGTCACGCTAGGCTAGGAACTGCTAGGAACGTAACAACTTGCCCCCCCTTATAAAAAGCCACGGCGTCCTCGGGCTTTTCCTCAAGGTACTCAAGAAAGGTCTCAAGGTACTCAAGGAAGGCGTTTCTTCAGCTTTTCCTCAAGGTAGCCCAGGAAGAACCTTCCCGTTCGATAGGATCTGAAGTAGTATCGGCAAAGGAATAGTAGACGTAGGGAAAGGCAATAGCGGGCTGGCGACTGAAGTAAAGGTATTTACCGGAGTAAAGGTGATGGTAGGAAAGTAAGGAGTTGGCGATTGGAAAGTATCCCTATATTCTTAATCATTGGGAAACAAAAAAGTTCCCGCAAGCACCCCCCTCCAAAACCAAAAATTGAAATTTCTTGAATATCTTTATAACCACCTTTCTTTATAATCTATAATTTTTTATAATCTTTTCCCATAATACTAAATAACTAATTCTAAGAATTTTAGAAGATTTTAATTTAAATATCGTAAGATATAGTATAAATTAAGAATATACGCTCTATATTAAAAAGTTATGTTAAGGAATCATTATGGTTTGACTCATATATGTGTGTGGTGTAAAAGATGTTGATTATCTATGTGGTCTGCAGGCAGATATGTGCGGTGCCAAGCCTACGCTAGTGGCCCTATGAGTATCCCTGAGGCATCTCATGACAATTGCCCACAAAAAACAGAGAAATGCCATGTCCTCATGGCAAGAAGTATGCATGCATGAATGAGTGAGTTTTCGAAATGCCGGAAAGGAATGGAGACACCAGGCCAATTAGTGGTGTGAATCCCATAAGTTCTCCTGCCGCAGTGAAAGCCTTTCGAATAGTAAAATGGATGTTGAAGCAAGACATCGGACGGTTTCAATTCGTCCAAATATGCATCGTCCGATCTTCCTCCTGAAGAGACCCTTGCCTGCAGAGGTCCAATTGCCATAGCCATAGTGATTTGGCTGTGACCGTCGTAGTAGGTCCTTCTCTTCTATGCTCAACTCAGTGATTGTGTGCCACAATGATGTAGTGGGGATGATAGGCCAAGCTGCAGTGGTGTTCTCCGCTTGCTGAGTGATGGTTTGGTGTGGAATCGTGGAGGGCATATGACGTGGGATCTTGGAGAGCTGAGCCGTGTTCTTGGTGCTGGGGGCCTTGCTGTCGCTTGATTTTTCCGCAGTGCTCTCCGCATTTGCCTGTAGTGGATCCTCCTCTTGCTGAGTATCGGGCTGGTGTGAGATCGTGGAGAGCAGGTCTGTTGTATCGCTGCTGCTGCTGACTGTCTCCGCACTTTTCTCCGCAATATCCTCCTCTTGTGAAGTATCAGACTGAGCGACTGAGGGAGTGGCTTGCTGAGTGACTTGGTGAGCTGGCTGAGTGGCTGGCTGAGTAGGCCTAGATCGAGCTTCCAATGCTTCCAGTCTTGTACTCATGATTCTTATCATTTCCATCATTTGTGTCATTTGTTCCTGAAGCGAGGCGAGTGGGGTAGGGTGAGGCATGATGATATCGATAGGCCTATCGAAAGGATCGATTTGGACGGGGTGTCAAAAGGTACTCGATGACTGCGAGTGTGTTGGAGGTCCGGCTTGGAGCGTCACACTATTAGGTGTTGATGTGGGCTTTGCGTAAACGTGTGGTGTAGACGTGACTCGTAGAGACGTCTACTACATCATAGGATCAAGTGGAACTAGATCTTAAGGTGTTGCTACCAATTGTTAAGGAATCATTATGGTTTGACTCATATATGTGTGTGGTGTAAAAGATGTTGATTATCTATGTGGTCTGCAGGCAGATATGTGCGGTGCCAAGCCTACGCTAGTGGCCCTATGAGTATCCCTGAGGCATCTCATGACAAGTTACCTCGGCTATTCTATAATTGCCAAGACTTATCTAGAAAATCTTAAGAATTTAATAAATTTTTATTTTATTATATAGCAGACAATTAGAATATTCTAAAAATTGAAAATCTTAATCTTTATAATATCTTTTAATAGTTATAAAGTTTTTAGAGAATTATAATTTATTGTTGTGAAGTTATTCTAGAGGTTCCATTTTTCAATTTTCGAGAGGGGGGTGCTTGCGGGAACTTTTTTGTTTCCCAATGATTAAGAATATAGGGGTATTGTCCTTTTCCACATTGTCGGCCAGTCATTGTTGATTTCCTTCCTTCCATTCCTCGAACTCCTTGCTAGGCTTCCCGTCCTGGGTGTGAATGAACACCCAAATTCTTCGCACATTTCTCGTACGTCCGGTAATACTCTTTGACTTGGGCCTTCGGTATCTGGATTTCCACGGTGTAAGTGTTGTACGGGAGTAGGGAGGTTTAGCAAGAATTTTCAAAAGAATGATTCAAAAGGAATTACGCGTTAAGTGCCACATTCAGAAATCTCACTGCCAGGCTTGGCAAAAAAAGTTACCCGAATAGGCAAGTTTTCGGCTCGCTTTTGAATCACTGCTTCATAATATGAATCAGTGATTCAATAGAAATTAGATAATTTCACCTACAATTCAATCACAAATTAATTTATTCCACCACGTAAAGCGATTTAAAAATTGCGCTTTTTGATAAGAGGTTTGAATTATATTATTCTATAATTTGCGATATTTTAAGATAATTTTATCGACTTATAGTCGAAGAAGAAGGAAATGTTGAAAATTCAGCGATTTTTAATATTCCTTATCAAGCCTGGCAGTGAGATTTCTGAATGTGGCACTTAACGCGTAATTCCTTTTGAATCATTCTTTTGAAAATTCTTGCTAAACCTCCCTAGTATCTTAACGCCGATGCGGCTTTTGTCTCCATTCCCTAAATCAGTTGCATCGACCATTGTGGGCCGGAATTGAGTGATGCGTAAAATAACCGGAAGAGTGCGACTGGCAGCGACGAGATCCCTTGGATCGCCTTTTGGGCACTGTGCAAATGATTTGTGGACCTCAGGGTCCAGGAGGTGCAGCGGTCACCGTTAGCTGCACCTTTTGCCGGCACTCTCCTCTTGAGCTTCTCACGTATCTCTGTCAGCAACACAGAGAGTGAAAAGATAGTGAGATGTTTTCATGGAAACGGAGGGCGGGATTGCAGGCATTCCGAATAGTGAAACGAAAATTCCTTCAAGGAACGTCTGAGGCGACGATGTAAGAGTTGGAGGGTGTTTAGGGGTCTTCGCCTTGTTTGGCGGCATGATCATCGATGTCTGCTGTGGTAAACGAAAGCTTTGCAAAACCCAAATTTTGTAAAGAGTTGGGAATGTCAATGAGTGGAAATAGAGTAGGGCAAGTGAAATTTTCTATGGCTTTCATGTGCAAAAGGGTTCAATAACCAAAAAGGTTGGTGATGAGGCAATTGGGACGGCTTCGAAGATTTATCAGACCAAAGTAGAAGATGGGCGCACGGCGAACACCCGACGTACCGAACAAGCAGAGCCTCGGACTGTTTCTAAGACAACGAGTTCTGAATTGTGGCAGATGAGAAGAAGATGTCAGAGACAGCGTCGCTGCAGCCTTCGATAACAAACTGGGCGCAGTAACCCTGTACTCGGGTTTTGCGATAATGGTAATCTCTTGCTTTTCATCGTAAGGCGCATCGACGATTGTGTTTCTTTTGGCTTAGATGCCACGACTCCGAAATGAAACAGAGTTTTTCGAGCACGGGATTGATATTAGGTCGGTCGAGTTGTGGACCGGAAGGAATGATTCCCTCAGACCAGAAAATGCGTGACTCAAAGATGCGTTCATGATTGGGAGCCCACCGATGCAGCATTGACTGTCTGTTCATCTCCTGGTTCGAGATCAGAGCGCTCAAAGATGTGTATTGCTCGTCGGAATTCGGAATCTGATTCCAAAGACCGTTAACGGTTGCAAAATTACAAATGTACTAGACGACCATCCCCCACCTCACTTCTCCGGTGCTCACACTCTCATTTCCCTTTCCTTTTCCACGGTCTTCATCTTCGTCTTTATCCTTCTCAGGTTTAAGCACATTTTCCTAGCCATACGTCTTCAGCGATGGCTGAGCTAACTGCCAATTCTTTCTTGTAATCCGAGAAAAGAATATCTCAGAGATTTGTCGAGCTGAGAAGCACTTTTCGTATCTACTTCAAGCTATTCAAGCTCGAGCTCTTCGATGCTGTCGATGTTCATCTTATTCGCGATTTTCGGGCCGAATGTCGCACACTCATTGGTTTTTTCGGGTTCATCTCATCCACCAAATGGTTCGCTTTGTAATGTGGCGGCAACATGAACCGGATGCAAAAGAGTGTAGTAATCACATTTCCAGTTTGGGCCCACCGAAACAACAACAGGCCTGCTTTCTTCTATTTCATTTCAAAGACGTCAGCAACGTATCAAAGTGAACATTGAAGATTTGCTGATCAAAATCTTCCAATCCAAATCAATGCAAACATACTAGTAATAGATTGACAAATGAAATATAGAAGATACAGTATTCCCAAAACAAGGCCCATTCAGGGCTGTAGGTTGACCAGTCCCTGTGGTCCATTGACCGAGTCGAGGTTAATCGCAGTAGGCAGGATGATGACAGTGGACAAATGGGATTCTGGTGACCTGTAAACAGTCTTGAGTTGAAATATGCTTTGTTTTGGTGATCCTGCTGCCTGAAAATGGCATGTTTCGGCTCGGGTGACGGCCTGAAGACATCGGTCACACCCAGCATGCCTTCATCCAACTATGTCTCTCATCTCAACATGGATGCTCTTGCGCCAAGGTATATAGGCAGACACTCGCGGAACGCTATACGAAAGCTGGCTTCCGATCGACCTTGGCCTTGATATCACAGGTATTGCCGTTTGCCGCACAGCCGTGGCTGTTTGGTGATCGCGCGCCTTGGACGGCATGTTGAAGCTCCTCGATGTTTGTAAGATGATATAGCTGCTAACGCTGAATGAAGGACAGGCTCGACGAGGCGCGTGTAAGGGAATGGTGAGGAGGATTAGCATGACACCCGGTTGCTTTCGCAATGCTTACAGGATCGGCCGCAGGACCTCTGCAGGTAGATGATGAATTTGCCAAAATTAACAAATTTTTTGATTAACGCCCGAGCTTTGCTCAAACTCCATTCCCTGCAAGGCACGACGTGTGGCTCGATAGGGTTTGTGTCCATCCCGCATAAGCTTTTGGAGGCTCTGTGGCTCTCTGTGATTGGTAGTGAGCATCTGAGCCTTGAGAAGGGTCTGAAATACTTACTTTCAGCTTCCTTTCGGATACGTCGACACCCAAGTCGAAAAGGCCTCAGCGAGACAAATCTTTGCACAATGTGCGTGTTTCAGTGGGTCAGCGGTGGTGGAGGGACAGCGTTGCCGAGCGGCCAAGGCATACGAGCCCATCTCATAGTCTGGGTGGCTCTGTAAAAGGCTATAAAACAGAGGACACGCATCGACTTAGAGCTGACTTGGTTGGAAGAGTTACGCCATCAGGAGAGCCTATACTGGTCGACGTAGTTATGTCACCGTCTACAGACCCTCAACTGCATCGACTGCCGGATAATCTCTTTGTCCCTTGACTGCTCAACAAGCATTGACTTTTAGGTTCCCTGTACTGGCGACTGCGGAAATTCGCCCAAGTACTGTGGTTCGACGTACTTTTCGGAAAGTGAAATTGCGCGAGTGCAGAAGGTTGCATGCTCAGATTTCCCATCAAATGGCCTCGAAGATTTGAACGTTGAGGATGGGCTCAGGACGAGACTTATACGTATATCTGCGAATGGGAATCCAAACATATGAGCACCTATCATTGGACGTCGTGTTTGCATGTCCAACTCCAAGTACATACCGTTTGTTGAAAGCCGGGTCAATGTTTCTTCGCATGGCAAAGATGATATCAAGAATTGAAGATCTTAAGCGACGCTAATGGGAAGTTTGAATCATTGAAAATGAAGTGAGATAGGAACGCCACAACAAGGGATTCTGATGATTGATCTTGTAGAACTTGACGTCGATGCGAACTTGTGTAAAAGCTCACAGAATGCTGTCGGGCACTTGAAAGGAAACGAGAATACAAACCTTACCGAACCCTGGCTCATCAGCACTGATCGCACCTCCATAAGACGGCGCGTCATCCGATTTCGTTTCATGGAATTCATCAACATAGATTTGACCAGCGGAGAAGTTGTGCACCCATCCGCTCTTGAGAATGCCTTGCACATATTTGTCGTAGCACACCGGAGTTGTTAGGACAAGAAACCTTTCTTGACCAGGCTTCGCGCTGCCATCCTTGATACATTTTAGCAGATGCCTGTTCTCCATGAAAAGAGGCTCAGCGTTGACGTTCTTGCAGCGATTAACAGAATGAGCATAGAAAACGCGTAGCTGCATGATCTTGCGAATTGAGAAATCGATAAGCTTGGTAAGTTCTGCCAGCCGGCTGGTGAAGATCTTCGCGGCAACGATGACGAGGACGATACCGGATTTGGAGCGAAACGTCGACACGTAATTACTCCGTCCCTCACAGGGTATGCGATATCCAGATTGTTCGCAGATGGATATTTTACAATGGCGTCTCCGGTTGCTAGGAGGAAGGTGCCTGTGTACGAAAGCAGAGCGGTTAAACTCGTCGATACTCGAAATGTCATCGTAGCCTTATTGAAAAAGTATGGGTATGTACGGTAAAACGCATGACATCATAGATGCCCATGAGGACACCCAGAATCTTGCGAAGAGTCTTCGCCTTATCAAGCTCCACCGCTTCCCCGTCTGGCTTCTTCTTCGTCCCCAGGCGGTTCTCCACACGTTGGATGGCCGTTAGGGCCGTGTTAAAATGATCGCAGGTGCGGCGGAGCCGCACGGCAGTTTCGACGGCTTTGTACCGGAGCGAGAGCTGCCTTTCGAATATCCGGCTCATAATAACCATGAGGGTCTGAAAAATATCTCGAGTCAGCGGTGTCCGAATCGCAAGACCGACCAGAGACTCTTCTTCATCGGAGAGTACTTCTACATCAGGGGTACTTCATCAGGAAATACTGACCCCAATGGGCAAAAGTTGTTAAGCTCCGCCGAGATGCCTCATACGTCTTCTTCTTTACCTTGAAGACCAAGTCTTCCCCGAGCGCGATTGACGCTTTTGATGGATCGACATCCGAAGGAGAACTTCTGTCGACGAACCAAAAGGAGTAATGAGATCCTGGGAAGCTCCATGAATAGATGATGAGCTCGGCAAGATTGGTGAGTTCGTTGGCCAAAGCACGGGCTCCATCCACTTTTGGTTTCTTGTGAGGCGCGTTGTGAAGTTCGATGATGCTGTGAGACGGGTTCCAAATTCTCCGCACGATAATGAGACATTCGTCGAACTAATGTCCGATATCGAGGATCCCAAGCAGTGCCGATGTAGAGGCTGAAGGATCGTATGTAAACTGAGATGAAGACGCGAAGGGCGGGGATACAATGTATTTGTGATCTTCAAGGTTGGTTTATATATGTATAAGACCTCATAAAATGATGCTGTTGACGATGAGATATCAACCGTGGCAGACAGTAAGAAATTTGCTCAGACGATCAATAGGGGTCAATTTCTTCGAAGTGGGTGACATCGGCATAGAAAAAACCTGATCTCGTCTTCCAGGCCGAGAGATCCCAATCCGAGCTGAGCTTCCTGCAAGGACCCAAGGGAATTGTAATCGCCACAATCAATCCATGGTCGGAGCCCAGGACATCCTTTGCAGCCGTGGCCACGACAGCGGAACAGCAATTCAGGTCAAGAATTGATGAGCCCGGCTGCAAATGAGCCAGAGCAACAAAGAATCGACGGTCGTATTGAGCTAGGCTAGCTGTGGATTATTGAAATGCTTTCAATGAGGCGTTGATGCACTCATCGTGATGTGAGGGTTGTATTTCTTGTTTCTATAGACAAGAGTCAGCTTTGCAACCATATGTCCTAAACGTATGCATAGTAACTCACCTTGCGTGAGGATGTAATGCTGATATCGTCTTGATCTAGAATTCGAGAAGAAAAGGAAGTCGTCTTACGTAAAGTCTTTGGGGAAGAAAGAAGAAGTGAGATAGACATACAATCGATAAGAGCTTTGGTCAGATACCTTTGATGACACCAAGCTCTTCAGTCACTTTCGTTAGTCGCCATTTTTGACCTATCTCAGGGCGTTCGGATGGATGATAAGTGTATTAATGTATAACACCTTTTTCTCACTTTCATCACGATGAAGACTTTCTCTTCAGCTCGTTTGAAACACCTTGAAATTTAGGGGAAAGAGTAGGTGCGGTCAGGAGTAGCATGAGATGTCTGGATGCGAGAATTGACGCGCTGCAGTGTACTTCCAGCATTGACCACTGAGTCCGTGTGACTCATTCTTTTCGTAATCGGGTGATCATCATGAGACTCCATCGGAGACCCTTGGATGAATCAAGGTGAGCCAACAGCTCTCCTATTCCTGTGGAGGCAATACGCCGTATCTGATGCAGGAATGATCGCTTATTCGGAGACCTTTGGATGAATCAAGGTGAGCCAACAGCTCTCCTATTCCTGAGAAAGCGATGCGCCGTATCTGATGCAGGAATGATCGCTTAGCGATCAGAGTTCCTTTCCTTTTTTGCAACTGCATCAAGAGCACACGAGTGGGTGGTCCGAGTCCGAACACCGCTTCAGTGATGTCTTCGTGGATTTGACCGAAAGTAAGAAAAACATCCTTTTCTAGTACACGGTCAAAACAGCTAAGAGAAGCGAACGAAACTGCGTGGTATAGAGTGTCGAAGAAGCATCCTTGCGGTGCTGCAGTGATAAATACACCACCGCCATTGACTTGAGAAAACGTCGATGGAGCGGTGGGAGAGTTCAGATTGGGCAAAAATCCTAAGGTAGCCACCTGGAGCTCCATGGTGAAATGCAGCTTATCCCGAACGACACCGCTCTGGTTTGTCCGATAAGTCCACGGGTGAGCATCGACTCTATCAAAGGTTAATGCGCCTTCTTAAATGGAAATAGAAAGGGTGAACCTGATGAGAATTTGATGAGGGGTTACATTCTCGTTCGATGCTAACTTCAAAGCTACCTGTTTTCCTGCGTAAAACAAACCCAAAAGGTTGAGACGTTGAGGGAGGAGCCCCTTGGCCAAAAGAAACTTGAAGCCTGACATTGATATGTTCAAAGCTCGAGAAAGGGGGCATTAGGTATGTTTGGTGTGGGTATTAAGGATGATGAATTAGCCATCACACGGATCAGATACTCACTCACCGTGAGATGCCACTAAATAAACCCGGAAGACGGTGTTGCTCAAGCACCATAGTAGACGAAATGGAAAGTCTCTATGGCCGGCGAGGGCCAAGTTGGTATATGTGTATATGTAGGTATACGTTCATTTCATTGACTCGCGCAGTCGAAAGTTAGAAGACCATTGGCGAATGTAGTGAATTGGTATTGATGGGCAGAGATTCGCCGACATCAATTCCTCAACCGTCAGCTCTGTGGACATTCGCGACCACTTCGTATTCTCACGGTCAAGGAGCGTGTGAGACACTTCTTGGCGTAACAATAATCGATTGCAGTGAGACAAATCTTGGTGCAGCCCAAAAATCCACTCACTTGCCTGGCGGCAGTAGGAGACAAGTAGAAGCGACGTCCTTGATGTTCGATAAACGTAGTACACTGACAGGTGCAATGGTATGTCGCCAGGAGTGCAATGGCATCAACGAAGTAGAATCCAGCAATGAAAATGAAGATGATCTTGGAGAGGAGTAGAGTTTGTTTACCGCGCCACTCTCCCGACCGAGGGGTAGGATGTAGAATCACGGCTCAAGATAGCAACAAGCTGTCACGTTGTGGCAGGCCGGGGTTTATGATCGTGTTGATGGAGGGTGAAGAGAGAGAGAGAGAGAGAAAGCCGCGCTGACAGGCAGTGAATGCGGGAATGGAGAAGGAAGTCGAAGCTTTTAAGAGTGAATGACGTAGGGAGTGGATCTGCTCAGCGGATCATCTCATAATCTCGAATTGATCATAGGCGTTCTGGAAATCATGCTGGGACAGAAAATTATTTGTAGAAGAGAGCCTTGACCTTTGAATACTTGTCTATATAATTTCCAGATTTAATGAATGTGTGGCAGTAGACATCAACATGAGCCTCATCCTCACCGTTACTGCTCGTAAGGCCAAGCCCGCGCCCTCACCACTGTCCAAAGTCGTTGGACATTGTTACTCACGTTGCTACTCCATACTCTTGCGATCTCTCACCAACATCAGCCAGAGCCATCATGGCCTCGGCGGTAGGGCCGGGCCACTTTTCACGGATATACGCCGCAACCATATCCTGTCCATTGGTGAAGGCGCCTTTGACATGCAAGTCTCATGTCAGCTGAAGCTTCTTGAGCATCATGTTGCATGAAGACAGGAGACTTACCACTACTCCAAAGATTGCCATCACTGACCCACCTCTTGGTCTCCCAAATCGCCTCCGGAAACTTCTTCTGCAGCTCCGGCAACAACGGCCTCGGACCGGTAACCCTCTTCCCCTTCAAAACTCCGGCACAGCCAGTCGGGTATATCCCCGTGCAAACACTCAGTACATCCGTCCCGTTGTCAAAATGCCCCTCGATGAAGCCGTTCAGCGCATCGGTCGGCTTATACGCGGAAGGGTCAGGTCCAGGAATCAATAGGATATCAAGCGTCTTCTCTCCACCTTTCTTTGCAGGAGCACAAATCTTGTCAGAGATAGAGGCATCGACGCGCAATCCTACATTTGCAGTACATTCTTGGAGTGTATTGGGGCCGGCTTGGTTGATGTAGAGGATTTCCATGGGGACGGCGCCGGCTTTGAGAGGCGCGGGCAGGAAGGAGAGGGTGGAGACGTAGGGTTCAGAGAGCATGCCGAAGAGATCGATAGGGGAAAGGTCGAGGAGTTCGACGGTGTCGATGAGGAGAACACCGATGCGAATTGTGGGTTTGGAAGCCATTGCTGAGCCTGACAGTTGTGGGATGAGTTGGTTTGAAGGTACTCACTCGATGGTGTTTGGGATCTTGAAGGAGATGAAGGTTTTTATAGCATTCCAACTGTCTCGCGTCGGTGTCTGAAAAGCCCGAACTGCGGAACGAACTGCCATGGCAATCAGGCAGCACTTTCTAGACGATAGATTGTAATTGCAGAGGAAGAGATTCTCGACGTTAGCACCTTCCTTTTCGCATACCCATGTCAACAAAGACGGTGTGGGATTGTTTCGATTGATGTTTAGGCAGCACGATTCCACTGGACGAGATGAGAGCTTCCCAAGAATGGATAAGACAGAAGCCACAAGATTGTTGATAGTGAGCATTTTGCAATGCATGCTTCAGATGTCAAAGGAGAAGTTCAAAATTCCAGATTGTGATACTAGGCAACCATATTCGATTGGACGACAGTGGTCCAACGACAAGCCACGAGGATCGAGGGCGCATCCTACGAGCCAAACTCAGGGATACACCTTTCATCTCGTGCATATCTACGTTTGCTTGTAAATTCGCCGGTCTGTTCCTTACGCCAAAACAAGCGGCACGCTGTCAGCGAAACTTGCTCAAACAGCGCCCATGCATCAATCATTCGATAGGCCGTTTCGATTTGCGGTCATGACATAAGTCTAGTAGCTAGATTTAGTGAATATCAATGTCCAGCTACACGAACAGTAAGGAAGAAGGGGAGAAATGCGGAGTGAAAGAGCTTGGAGAATTGAGGGCGAAGTGAAAAGATCAAACATCCCTACTAGCTCCCTATGGATACAACATACTCTAGTGGTGGTGGTGGGGGCACCCGCCCGCGTATTTCTCATCTCGCTTTGCAAATCATCTGTCCTGGAGCAACCACCACAACCGCGTGCGTGTATACTCGTTTAATCCAGAAGTGAGTTCTCTGATAGAGTGAGGACACCAATAGATTAACCGGAATTCGGCTAAGTGGAAGGATTTTCTGGTGTCCTCGCTCTATCAAAGAACTCACTTCTGGATTGTACGAGTACAATTAGAGTATGTTCAACAAAATCTAAACATCGATACAATGTCGTGAAATCATCCTTTCTTCCTACAATCTTAGTCTGGCGTTAGAGGGAAGAACCCATCTTGAATCAATGGATCGCCCATGAGTCAAGAATTGCCCAAGGAGGGACAAGAAAACTACTCTACCTAAAGCTAAGCGAAGCTGTGCCAGCGGCTGAGGTGTGTGGCTGAGGCGGTGCAACTCTGGTAGCAGCCTTGCTTGACTCAAGGACATATATTACTCTACACAATTCCCACTCAAACCTGAGCACGGAGTATCCTTTGTTGTCCGACGCTAAGGTCCATCCGAATCCTTCATCTTCTCGCTCCTCCTCTTCTTTTAACACGCCCTGCGCTTCATTTGACATTAATCAACATCAAAGCTTTTCCTTTCTGAGCACGTGACGCGATAAGGCTTCCGGCCCAGCAGACAACTCCCATCAATGTATCCCTGATCCCAGGCAATAGACAGAAAGATGCAGGAAGAACCCGGAGATCAGGGCACAGACTCCTGGCTAAGCGGCGGCTATTGGAGAACAAAGCTGCCATGGCGTCAGAAGGCAGCGTCCAAGCCTGCAGTATGGTGGTGAATCATGATCTTGAGCCTAGAAAGCTGACGGGTAACAGCAATCCTTGGCCGACAGCTCGTCTATACCCTTCTATCCAAGCTTAAGCGCTGGCCCTTCCGAAGCTCCGCCACCATACGAAGACCTCCGAGAGCAACCAACATCGCTTGTGGAGAAGGATGGAAAGACACCCAGAGACAATACAGATCAAAAAGCTAAACACGATCTGGAGAGCGGGACCCACTCACGCTTCAATGCACCGCCCACCGTCATGGATGGCAAACAAGGAAAGCGTCTGTCACTTGCTCACTTAGCAGAGACAGGAAAGCTACCAGCGCTGCGGAAAATTGGCCGCGGAGGCTCTGATGAGACGTTAGCATCTCTGGACAAATCTTGGCGATATCATCGACAAGAGTTCGGTTCCACGGACACCAAGACTGTTGCCCGTCTCTTTGACTTATGCCGATGCTGGAACACTTTGGGTATGCTTCGTGATGCTGTGGAGACAGAAGCACCGCAGGTCTTATCTTGGACGATCAAAGCCCGTAACACCGAATTCTTCGATTTCCTCTTGCAACAGCAAGTCGATGTTGATCGACCGGACGAGGAAGGCAAAACTCCATTGTTTCATGCTTCAACGTTAGGCAAGGCTTTCATTGTAAGAAGATTGCTTGACACTGGAGCCAATGTACATTGCACCGCGGGTAGTGTTACCCCTCTCCACGTTTCAGCCGAGAAGAACTATACCTCAATTGTAGACTATCTCCTGGAAGCCGGCGCAGATGTCAATGCGCTGAACTCGAAGGGTAATACCGCGCTATACTGGGCCAGTAACAATGGGAATCTAGAAATGGTTAGGAAACTTTTGGGCAAAGGCGGTCAAGCAAATCATACCGCTCCGTCGACCATCTCTCCGCTTCACGTTGCCGCAGTTCGAGGTCACGTGGAGATCGTTGAGGTCTTATTGGATGCAGGGGCGGATCTCAACGCACGAAACTTTGAAATGACACCAGTGCTTGTAGCGATCTCATACCAGCAAGAACGAGTCCTTGACTGTCTGCTCACTCGGGGTGCGATAGCAAACCCCAGCTTGGGCGAAAAATTCGCGCTGCACTTTGCTGCCGGAAAAGGATCACGAAGCCTTGTTACCCTGCTTCTGGATGCCGGAGTTGAAGTAAACACGACGAGCGCTAAGGGTCATACGGCTCTTCACATAGCCGCAGCCTTGGGGAACGAAGACCTCGTTGACAGACTGCTGGCGAGATCAGCCTCCGTCAATTTGAAGTCGCTGTCTGGTTTCACGGCCTTGCACGACGCCTCATTGGCGGGCCACATCGTTGTGGTCAAACAGCTTTTATACGCGGGTGCTGACATTGCATCCACCACCTGCACTGATTACACCGCTCTGCACTTTGCCGCGGAGAAAGGCTCTCTCGACGTAGTGAAGCGACTCATGGAGGCCGGATCGGATGTCAATGCCCAGTCAATCAGAAAGTGGACCCCGCTGCTGTGTGCGTGCAGAGAGAAGCATTTAGCTGTTGTCGAATTGCTCCTCGACCACGGTGCTAACCCTGATCTGTTGGATTCTCAAGGCGTCTCGCCGTTGATCATCGCGAGCGAAAATGGAGACTTGGGCATAGTGAGGAAGCTTGTCTGCGACTGTTCCGCAAACGTCAATAGCCAGTCGATGAATGGCGTTACTGCTCTTCACATGGCAGCCCAGAACGGTCATGCATCTGTCGTGAGCTTCCTTCTGAATAACGAAGCCGACGCAAACACATTGTTCTTGGGGAACACGACGCCATTGGCGATGGCGACCTGGCATTTACACACTGATGTCATCAACCATTTAATCCCGGTCACAAAAGATCCCTGCCTGTTGGATTGCTTCGGCTGGAACAGCATCGACTGGGCGACAGCAGACCCATCGGTGCTCTCTAAATTCTCCCTCGAAACCCGACCCGAGGAATACATCCCCACCAGCGTAGCAACACGCAAATCTCATGTACGTCGGAACATCAGCAATCTAGCGCGCGCAATGCTCCAAGCCAACGTCGCAAACGACAACCGACTTCCCGTCCTGGGCGAATGTCTGCTGATCATGCACGACACGACCGACGCCGAACATGCATTCCAGCTCCAGGTACACCCGTACGCCACCACGGCGGAGGGACCACTGACGTATTGGCTTGCGTGCAACTCGTGCGAGACCGATATCACGGGCAATCTCTACATCTGTCTCACATGCGCCGACACAGCCTTGTGCGAGGATTGCATGACGAAGTACAAAGACAAGACGAAGGAGATGAGGACCTGTAAGGATCACGTGTATCATGGCATCTTGTCGCATCGGCATTGGGAAGGCGAGTACGGCAAGTGGCCGTCGCAGCTTGTGAATACGAGAGGCCAAAGTGTGGATGGGTGGTTGAGACACGTTCTGGTTGCTTATGGCGGATGAGAGATTGAATGAACCTTTTTTTCATAACTCGAGTCCGGACGTTTCCTTGTCCTATCGCCATTGAAATTTCCTTCCTGTCACCCAACAATTCCGACAAGGCGCAGAGGACGGACATCTCGCGCAACGCAAGGGAAGCAAATGCGTACCAGCCCAGCATGAGCCCTTCAATCCTACCAGACGCATCTATATCAGAGCGGCACTCACTCACTCACTCAAAACCGCCTGTATGATTCGCGTCGTATTCTGTCCGCCGAGTATCGCATCCCACACTCGACCTTTGTTCCTGTCATCCCTCAGCCTTGGATTCTGTCCAAGGCTGTGCTATGACGGATCATGATTAGTAGGCAAAGTGGAGATGTATGTATTTAGATATAATCGATTGATGATGACTGATTAATTCATCGATCCATCGAAAGCCATGCTTCCTCCCACGCAGATAGACAGATAAAAACGAGCACGCACGCACGCCCTTTCTTTCCTTCCCTTTTGAGTTATCCCCAAGTTCACCACTGACAGTTTCTGCACACTCTTTCGCTTCGCGGGCGCCGGGGTTTGAGATGTGGCATATATAGGGTTGCACGTTGCCTCCAAGAAGATGTCGTCGTCGTTGATGGCGAGTGTTATCAGTTGACGAAGCGAGTCTTTGACAGCGGGATGGATGGGCGGAGGAGAAGGAAGGGGAGGGAATTATGTTGGAGCTTTCATCGCTTGTGTCTTTAATTTTTCCGGCCGTAGTGTGACGGGTTGACATTACTTTTTTAGATCGTGTAGGCCATGTCGAGATATCTGCACGTGGTGGTCCGGATAGAGAAAATCTCGATGCTCGACTTCACCTCTGAGAGATACACGTGCGCGTATGTGTGGTGAGACGTGGGATTCTTATCTCCGGCCGATAGAGAAGGACGAAAAGCTAGGTAGGAGCCTGATATGTATACGTCGACGTCAATTACTGACTTATTGTCTGTCTTCCGCATACTCGTCCGACCAAGGGCTTATCTATCTATCTCTCGATATGAAGCGGGCGCAGACTCGATGACTACATACCATCAAGCCCCCCCCTCCTTACATAAAAAATCCCCTGCTCCGCGCAAGCAAACCTCGAGAATTTCCATCCATGCGGATGCATCGGAAATACCATGGCCGTGAGAGGCATTCCACAAGTACCAGGGGCAGAATCCGACGAGTAATTATCGGACCCCTAGCTCTCCCCACAGCACCAATGAAGGAAAACCCCTAGCGGTCGAAGCCTTAGCGAACCCCCCCCCCACAGATTCCGAGCCGTTGCCACCGTCAGAAAGTGGGTATAAGCCTCATTCCCGGATCGGATCTCGATGCGACAAAGGCCTCTTACCAGTCTGGCAGTAGCGGTCGCGGTCACCGGAGCGTTGTTTCGACTCCTGAAGAATCGATTGGAATGGGACCACACGCGCCGGAAATCGTCACCGCTGGTCCATTCCCAAGGATACGTACGGATGGGGCTTTCCGACGCGAATGTCCTCGGGACGGCCCCGCCGCCTGAGCTGAGGAGTATGCCGTTGGTTGGCGTGGAGTGGGGTTTGAAAGAGGCGGGCGCTATCGTCTGTTGATTTATCGATGACGACGCCTGCCTCCTAAGTGTGTTGAGACGAAGTGAGCTATCTTGGGCCTGTTGCTACTGAAAATACTATCATCTCTACGGCGACTACTTATTCCGGAATCCTACAGTATAGATAAAGATCAAGACTTGTGGAGCGGAGACCGGGTCAAATCAAGCCGCTTGCGCTATGTCTCTCTCGAAAACGGTTCTTTACACTTTCTTTCTAACAACCGCCTTCTATATATCTGTAAGACCTTAGTACGGATGGCTAGATCATAGGCAAAACCCTCGCGGGGCCATTCGGTGCGTGGTTTCATATGCGAGTTTGCAACCCACGGTGAATCCGCTGCCGGCGTTGTGCGTGAGTTGGGAGATCAGTGCACACAACGGGTTGTAGAACATGATTATTTTGTTACAAATGCTACGCCAAATGCGGTGTGTCCGTCCTGGATGCCACCTTTCAACATTGCAGTTGGAATCGAGGGTGCATTGAGCAGTGATCCTCCCATGAGGTATCGTCTCACAGCGGCTGCACCATGATGTCGTACGTCGACACGTTTGTGGGACTCGTCCGACGAGGACGTTTCGACAAATCTAATCATGAAGTTGTTAAGCTTGCCATCTTTGATCGTATGTGGAGGCTAAACTGTACTACACTGGTGATGCCAGGAGGATGATCTTTCGACGAGGCGGATTCCCTCATCCGGCCCATCACACACCCGAAAAACCCGAGACTGATCCTCTCACCTCAAGCCCTACGAGTCCATCCGGCTGATCCTTCCTGGGAGCCAATACTGATCAATGATTTCATCATGAACATCGCACCTAGCGTCTAAGCCCCGGAGAATGAGCCGTGGAGGGTGCTCGGGACGAGCTTTGTGACTATGTATGCTGGAGGAAGAATCTGATGAAGGGGTTGAACGGATTCAATGCATTCAGTGCTCTGCTCTGTATCCCTTGGCCTGGCTGCTTTAGCCTTTCGACGCCCGACGGGAGACTTGTACGACCTGCGACTCAACGACTCCAGCACCCTCCGAGCCTGCCTTCTACGGTCTTATGCACCTCTGAGACTTCTTTTCTAGGGTTCCACCATCATAGCTTCATGCGTCAACACCACCGTGTCTATGTGGTGATCCGTGGCCACATCCGATAGAGCCGCAGCGCCAGATTTTGACTTAGATTCGGGACAGATGAAGGGATGCTAATGTCTTCTCATTAGAGGCTATACGTGTTAGTCACATAAGAAGATGATCTATCTTCGGCTTAGTTTCGCATGTGGATAACCTGTGGCGACCTGTAGGAAATATCCTAGCTCCGCAATTTGAGCTCCCGGCCGAGAAGCTTACAAGGTACCAAGAACCCTCGGCGCTGCTGCTAAACGGTATCATCGTTGACCGAGTGAGAATCGCGGTTCAAATTCCTCGTCTACATGATGTCACACCGGATCTTTTCAAGACGAGTCCATTAAGCTCAAAATCAGGGAGTGAAAATCACGTATGATCGAGTACCTTGGCAAGCTTGAATACCTTGAGATGCGATGCCGGTCAGGGAAAGAGGAGTCTCCAGTCAAGAACCAGCGGCTGGGAACGGTCGTCTTGCGGACGGCCGCTTCCCGACGTCAAATAATTGAACCTTGCTTGATCGTCTACCTTCTAAAGACTGTCCCTTGTTCTGGAGTTTCCCGTGACAGCTCAGACAGAAAACCCCCCAGTTTCTGAAATCAGCAACCACGTTACGGTACCGGCAGTCTTCCTAAACAGGAATACAGTGAATTGATCGGCGAATATGGAGCATGGATGTGAGACCTTTCGGCAAGCAAAGGCGCGGAACAGCTCGGGGATGAAAACGCGTACTATAGATTCGGGGATGGCTCGAGGAAGCTAGCTGAGGAGATAGATGCACGTAACGCGGGTCATACATTGTTCTTGACTGAGGATGGTGAACACAACACACTTCGTTTGCCGTTTACTGGTATGAGGGTGATGTCAATTGATGGCTCTTGCACCAACCCGCAATGTATATACTGCGTAGGGCAGATGACACCTATTGAACCTGGTCAGTCAAACTAATCTCACAGATTACCCCGTGTTGGGATATTACTTTCGAGATCATCCAATCGAAAGCAAGGCAGTCAGATTGCGGTATCGGGTCAAAACTGTGCTTCTTCTTCTTCTTCTTCTTCTTCTTCTTCTTGCGAGATACGATATTAGATCACCGCGGCCCTTTCTTTGTCCAGCAAAGTCGACCAACTTTCCGGAGACTGTCCAGCTGTCCTGGAAGAACTTCTTTGTCCAACGGCTCAGATTCGTCAGCGCTTCGCAGGGCGTATGACAATTCTTCACGACATCCAGCACCAAGGATACTACATCATTGGGATCTCCTTGTTCTCGCAAGATACATCGACTGCCACATCTGCTTTCTTGTTTCAGCCCAATCGCCCCTGGCTCACCCTTGGAGGCTGATAGCCAGGGCAGCTTATCCAGCGGGAATCGACCCTGAAAGACTCCATCCCATCTAGATCCGCATCAAATGGAGCCTATTCCTTTGAACTTCAAAAGTAGTCGCAAACGGAGCATTTAATTTAGCCTGCGCTTACAATCAAGGACTCGACATGGCCACCTTGGCCACCTTCGGTAATTCACGTAGGTCTCCCATCAACGACAGAGCCGCTTTCCGACAGTAGGGTTAGGGCTCCACCAGGGCCATCCACGGACCTTCCCATCGACCGCAGCGTGATCAAAACTACCCACGCATCCACCCTCACCAGGCATCTTCCCTCCACGCTCAGACACCCAACGCCAAGCATACGTAACCCTCATACCGCCCCCCACTCCCCCAACCAGCACCGCACAGACCCACCCCTCATCCTTTCCTACTGTAGGTAAGGTACCTAAGGTAGTTTTTAAGGACCTCCCTAGCCCCCCGTGACCCATAGGCCCGCCAAATCCGTCACAGGAATCCAGTACGTACTCTACTCTACCTTAGAGTCTGCTGTATGTATGTACCTACCGACTAGCACGTACATGACACCCCCCTCCCGCACAGAACAAAAAACCAAAACCGTGCACCCCCCGCCTCTCAAACCCCCAAAACGCCGACGCGCCCGATCTCATCTCCCCATCCCGATCTCATCGAGAAATATGAAAAAACCCCCGATGCTCGATCGGCCTAGCAGGCCCTCCCCCCACGCATGCAGGCCGGTTCCCCACTCTTTTTTCCGCAGTAAGGTATGTAGAACTATACGCGCTCCTCTGCCCTTGGTTCCCCATGTTCCCAACAGAAAAATGTAGGCATCGTCGATCGTGTCTAGAGGACCTAATGTGATGTACTGTCTGTTCTGTCTGTTCTGTTCTAATGGGGTGAGGTGTATGCGGCGGAGATCCGGGGAATTGGAAGTGGCGAAAGGTGCATTATTATGTATACC